GGGGGGGGGTTAAGATCATAGATCATCGAAACCATCTATAATAATACCAGGTTGCTGTACCTTTTATTTAGCTCTCTTAGGTAGTTTATTCTGCTTTAAAAATAGGCTGATTATTCAGAAGCCACTGCAGTATTTTGTTTATCGCAACCAACAGCACAAATAAAATCACCATTCTGTTCTAACCCCCCATCACATCTTACACACAAAGAAAGCTGATGTTAAACTGCACAACATGGCAACCAACATATAAACAGTGATTTGTCATAAACCAGTGTATCTCTTATTATTTGGGTGTGTGCTTGCAGGTGATGATAACTTCAAAGCAGAAAACTGTATATGGTGTGTAAAAGCTGGTAAATATGTGTGATTAGTTGAGGTGAGGTGCTCTGTGTATGGTTTGTGTGTGTTTAATTATGACTCACTGTGCACTGGTCAGGCTGAGGGGAAGTACTGCCAGACATACATAAGTCATCTAGTTTAAGACAGTTTACGAGTTCCCTCTCAACATGACTGAATCATGAGTGACGAAATCTTCCACTCATCACTCAAAGCAGTGTGTCTGAGAACTCACCGGTTTACCAAAGAAGCTTCAGTGTAACAGTTGAATACAAATGTTACCTTATTTGGGATGAAAGTAAGTACTTTTTTTTTTTTTTTTAATATAGATGGACAGAAGTTAAATTATGTGTCTTTTTTTCCACAGGCCATTCCTGTTGCTGCCACCTCTGATGGAGTGGATGAGAGTGGCCATAGTTCATGCTGAGCATCGCAAGAGTCTACTGGTGGACAGTGACGATGTCAGACAGACCGCCAGGCTACTCCTTCCAGGACTGGACTGTGAACCAAGACAGCTGAAGTAAATGAGAACACACACACACATACACATACGTACACTCACAAGGGCCGCCCTGCCGGATTTCTAGACTCCATCTGGACGCATGAAACTACACACAGCAATATGAGCTTTAAGCAGCAGCACTATTTCTGAACATCCTTAATGTAAAAAAAGATTTGAATATAAACCTTATCCACGCCTTCATCTAATTTTAGTTTTCTTGGCTGCACTGTAAGCTAGGTGTGTTCATGAGATTGTTGTAATTAGTTAAAAAGAAACGAAACGTATCTGCAAAGACAGTATTCCAGATGTTTATAATTACACACTGTATACAGCAGATTAATGACTGTATGACCGGCTCACTAACCTCTTCATGAAGTGTATTAAAGTAAAAAAATAAAACATCAGATGCAAATGTAGTGTGCATGAGCCACGTATGCGATTGTCTAACTCTTTGTTTGTTTGTGTGCCTCCATCAGGCCTGAATGTTGCTTTAGCTCCTTCAAGCGTCTGGACTCCAAAGCTGCCACAGACAAGTTCCATTTAGATTTAGGTTTTCGTATGCTCAACTGCGGACGCACAGATCTCATTGGCCAAGCCATCGATCTGCTGGGACCAGATGGGGTCAACAGCATGGACGACCAGGTACTGAATACTGTTTGTTTGTGTGTATTTATGTGTTTTTATATATGATGTGTATTGAGAGGAATATTGCAGCATTACACATAGCTACCCATATTCATAGATCATTTTGAAGTAGCACCTCATGTATTTGTTTCTCCTCTTTCATGTGTCCATTGCACTCTTTCTTTTCGTCACTCAGGGGATGACACCTCTGATGTATGCCTGCGCAGCTGGAGATGAGGCCTTAGTCCAGATGTTGATCGATGCCGGGGCCAACCTTGACGTAGCGGTAAATATTTCAGCATATGGACACATTTATATAAATGTTGCATGTTGAGTAAACTTTTACTTTATTCACAGGGGATGCGTCATGTTATCTCGATGATGTTAATCTTGATGTGTAACACTGATTTGTCCTGCGCTGCCAGGTTCCACCATGCTCCCCAAAACACCCCTCTGTGCATCCTGACAGTCGCCACTGGGCAGCCCTGACCTTCGCTGTGCTGCATGGACACATCTCCGTAGTGCAGGTTGGGAAACGTAGACTCACATGTAGTAGCCACCAGATGTAGCTAGCGTGTGGCCTCTTTATTTGACATGCTGCATAGGCTGGTGTACTTCTTACTCGAGGGGAATTGTCCTGCTATGTGGGCACAATAAGTGCAGGTCGGCCTAAGCTAAATGTAGATGTGAGGTCATACGTTAAAAAGTTGAGTGACAAATGTGAGGTCAGGGGTCGGGCCATAAATGAGTTACAGGATGTTAGATATTGCACAGTATAACAGATGTGGTGTGTATCTCCAGCTCCTGTTGGATGCCGGGGCCAATGTGGAGGGGGCCGCGGTCCGCAATGGACAGGAGAGTACAGCAGACACCCCATTGCAGCTGGCTTCAGCAGCAGGTGGGCTAACACACGTGCAAGCACACACACACACACACACACACACACACACAGTATAACACAAGGCACAGCTGATGTTAGAGTGTTGTTCGACTTACAGTAGGTCTGTGTTTGGATCTGATTTATGGTCACAAAATTACTACTTACTACTAAATTACACGGGTAGAAAGTCTGTAGAAGGGTCATGCAAAGGAAGGGAGATGAATGAATTTGAGCCGCTGTAGTACATTTCTGCAAATGAACTAATAATACCTCTCAGAATCAAATCACAATCAGTCATCAATACAGTAGTGTGCAAGCTTTCCAAAAGACCACCAAGAGTAGCGCATTGAGTTATGAATGACACATCAGCTGCAGGAATGAGGAAATGAGAGGGTAAATGAAGGCGTAGTGAAAGCTGCAGAGTTCTGCCTGTGGTTGTTTAGAAGCCTCTGGGCAGCATTCCTCAGTGGGATCATCTAAAAGCCACACATAGCTGTAGTAAAAGAGACACATGATCTACATAACAGCAATGACAGTGTCTAAATAGTGCCCCAAATGAATGTGTTTGCTTGTTTAAAAATACAAAAATAAAGTATCATAAAAGTTAATTTATCCCTGTGGTAAGATGTAATCATTGCAGCAGTAAGTGTAATAAAGTAAGAAAGAAGACATCCAGAGTATAAGTGCACTAATGAATTATAAAACAAGCAATAAAAACACTACAAACAATCAAAATGAAACCATAAAAAATAATAAATAAACAGTGATATGTTAACAGTACAAAAATACTAAGTAGACTCTACCAGTGGAAATAAACACAAAGAATTGATAACTAAAAGTATGCCTGTGCAAACAGTGAAAATATTTATGGCTGTACTGATAGAATATCCCATTTAAATGTGTTTAGGAGCTTTATCTGTATATAATTGAATGGTTATGTGCTTCCCAGGCAACTATGAGATGGTGAGCTTGCTCCTGGCACGTGGCGCAGACCCCTTATCAAAGACCCATGATGGAAACGCCCTGACGTCATCCCTCTATGAAGACATGAACTGCTTCAGTCATGCTGCTGCACATGGACACAGGTATGCATCCCTCTGTCTGAGCTGCAAGCAGCGTGTTGTCAACAGATGTTGACAAACTGCCTGCCTTTGGCCTCTTAACTGCACAGAAGAAAGTAACACAGAAGTGACGCTAACCATGTCAGCACTCAATCATACTTGACCCGAGTTTGAGATCTGCATTTAGGGAGGTATCATCCCTTTTATCATGCGGTGAAATGGAAGACCTTGAAAGTATAAAAAGCAAGGTCTCCTTCTATTCAGTCCATCTGTTTCTGAACACCAACTGGCAGCGTAAACCTCTCCACCTGTTCACTGTGTGTATGTGTGAACACAATGTAGACTCAACACTTCACATTCCACAGTAAGAATGACAGATTATGTAATCAGAGAGGAGGGTACAGGGTCACAGAAATGGATGTATGTGTTGCAGTTCGGACATAAATTAATGTCTTCATGCTTTCTTTCTTTCTTTCCTTCCTTGTCCTTTTTCCTCCCCCCTTCTTCCTCCCGTTTATCTTGTCAGGAACGTGCTGAGAAAGCTACTGACTCAGCCCCAGCAAGTCAAAGAGGATGTCCTGTCTCTGGAGGAGATCTTAGCTGAGGGGGTGGAGGGTGAGGAGGCCGGGATCTGCCCTTTCCTCCCTCTCTCCCCGCTCCCCACTCCTTCCTCTGGCCCTGGGGCCCTGCCAGAGGTGGGCATAGCAAGGCTCTGCAAGGCCAGGATGAAGGCTCTGCAAGAGGCCAGCTACTACAGCGCTGAGCATGGCTACCTGGATGTCACCATGGAGCTACGAGCTATGGGTACCTATCAGATGTCAAGTAGAGGATTTGCTTACTTTTCAAATTATGCTTACTATGAAGAAAACAACACTTTTTTTTCTTTTTTGACCTAGGTGTACCATGGAAACTACACGTGTGGCTAGAATCTCTGCGTTGTGCCCAGCAGCAGTCCAGGGCAGGGGTCACCCTTTCACTCCTCAGAGAGTTCACCACAATCAGAGAGGAGGACTACTGCGAGGAGCTGGTCACCATAGGCCTGCCCCTTATGTTCAATGTCTTACGCACTACCAAGGTACCATCAAACACAACCTTCACCTTGTGTCTGCTCGCTATCCTCTGTGTTATCAGTTTGAGTTTAGACCTGTGATATAATACCTTCCTCCCTGTTCTTTCACTTTCCTTCAGAATGATGCCATTATACAGCAGTTGGCGGCTATTTTTAGTCACTGTTTTGGCCCCGCACCTCTGCCAGCCGTCCCTGAGATGAAGGCAACTCTTTCAGCACAGTTGGGTAAGTTATGCTATGATTCTGACGTCTATATGAACACACAGAGCTCAGTGTTTAGAGTGGGTGACTCTAAATTTTTATTGACTTTTATTATCGAGCAATCTGCAGATTATTATTTTTATTAATTGATTAATTGCTTGGTCTGTAAAATATTTAAAAATAGTGAAATATCCCATCGCAAGTTCCTTAAGCCCAAGGTGATGTATTTTAATTGATAGATTGTGAGTTATTTTTTTATTAAATAAGACAAATACCTGCAGTAATTCTTTGCATTTGAGAAGCTGAACTAGGAAATATTTGGCATTTTTCCTTGAAAATGTTATTTAATTATTAAGGGCAAGGTATCAAACAGCCAAAGCAATCCTCTTCTCTGGCTGAAAAACCAAGGGCAAATGGGTGTGTTTCTCTTTAGCAGAACTAAAAGACCTTGAGAACATGTGTGTGAAAATGAAATGGTTAGCCTGAGACATATCTGACATACATACTGATGCCAGTTGTGAGGATCCAGACACAACCACAATACACCTGCATACAAGAAGACATTGTCTGAACAAAGCTCTAGCCTCATAACTGTGTAATGGTGGACCAGTGTTCAGACTGGTTTACCAAAAAGCTGGCTTGTAAATGGAGTTGTAAAGAGGTGCTGATATGTTTTCCTACAGACCCTCATTTCCTGAATAACAAGGAGATGTCAGATGTGATATTTGTGGTGGAGGGGAAACCATTCTACGGCCACAGAGTCTTGCTAATCACAGCTTCTGACAGGTGAGTGGAGGTTCACACTGGACAGACAGATGCATTAACATACTCCGAGACAGGGGTCATTTAAAACAGAAATCATTTTTCTAAATGGTTTTGCCAATGATATTTGCTTTCTTTAAGATTCAAGTCTTTGCTGGCATCCTCTGGACCAGATGGAAGTCCCAACAAGGAGATTGAGATCAGTGACGTCAAGTACAACATCTTCCAGGTAACAAATATACTTTTTATTTCCTGATTTAAAAAATACTTGGTACTAGTAGTATTTTTTTGTTTTAGTGTGACACAATGGATTCAGATTGATTGAAAAAAATTCTGACATTGTGCATGGGACAAAACACAGACACAAAATAAATGAGTTCAACTAATGTACAGATTTGTTCCTAAATGAGACCTCTGACCTATCTGCAGATAATGATGTCATACCTGTACTGTGGAGGAACAGAGTCGCTGAAAACTAATGTTCCTGACTTGCTGGAGGTGAGATTCACTAAATGAATACAGAAACATGTTTACAGGATAAAATGATCATATCTCAAGAGTTGCAACTCCTGTGTCAATAAAGACAACACTATAAATGCATCGTAATTCCATAAAAACTTACATTTTGTTAAGAAATACGGTTGTCGGCACAGAAAAATGTAGGTACACAACAGTAACTTCCTGCCCAGGTGTACCTCTACACATCACCTATACAATATTTTTCTGTAATGTATTATTCACAGTCAGATGTCTTTTTAGTGAAGCCCTGTAAATACAGTATATGTACTGCTTTTTAAGGGTGTTTGTGATTACAAACTAGTCAAACCCTATTTAGAACTAAAAACAAAAGGGAACATAGCACAATTACAATCCATTACAATGGTCTATTGCACTGTGAAAAACGCTTACCTGCACAGCAACATTATTCACTGTGGGTCAAAGTTTGACAGATTGTAGAATTTCAACCTTTATTTTCATTTCCAAATACGTGGTTTAGATTATGTGGCTATACTGGAAACCCTACCAACATTATTGTGTCTCTGTGTCTTAAAAATTAAGCTAGTCAGAAATATTATCTTAACTAATAAAGAATGATAGCCAAAACTGAATTATCCTTTGTTGCCATATCCGAAGCTTTGGCTTTCTTAATATGACTGAATGTAATGTAAGACAGTATTTCTTCAGTGTCAACATTTGCTTGTGTTTTCTCCTGCAGTTGTTGTCCGCTGCTAGTCTGTTCCAGCTGGGGGTGCTACAAAGACACTGTGAACTCATCTGCTCTCAGAACATAAGCCTGGATAATGCAGTCAGCATCTACAAGACAGCCAAGGTAACACGCACGCATGGCACGCACGCACACACATACACACATACACACGCGAGACACACACACCTACACACACACACCTGGATCATATTGTACTTTTATGTGAACAAAGCAAATAAGATTTATTGTTGTTTTGTTACAACTTGAATGAATACAAACGATTTTAATTCCACATATCAACGGAGAAATCCAATTAACTGAACAGTAAACAGTAATGTTACATGATAAATTGCCTTTCTACACTAAAAAAAACATTAATTTGTTCTTTTTTCTCCCAGGCCCATGGTTCAGTGGAACTGAGCTCATTCTGTGAAGGTTACTTCTTGCAGCATATGCCTGCTCTACTGGAGAGAGAGGGCTTCAAGAACCTGCTGTTGGGACCTCCCGGGGCCCGACAAGGGAACATCTCCACTTCTGCGCTGGTTCACAGCCGGGTAGACTCACCTCTGGAGGAGCTGGAGGCCACCCTGGCTCAACGACTACGCTCTCTCCACGTCACCTCCCGAGTCTGAGGACAACAGGACAGGACAGAAATAAGCAGAAGAATGTGGCAGTTGGAGTGGAAGTTTCATCTTATCACTGATACAGGATCAGCTGTCTAGAAGCTGTCAAAATAGATTACAGATGTCTTCTTATCTGATCATATCTCTGGTAACAAGCAACTTCCACAGTGCTTTGACACTGGGACACAGATCAGTGAGTTATTTGGCAGCCGTTAAGACTTTGTTCTGTGGACAACTCAGTGTTTCATATTTAGTGCCAAGCACTCCATCTTGACATTTATTGCAGTGTACAGCATGTTTATGAGGAAGAAAATTGGACAATGTGATGCTTTTTCTCCAAGGCTCGGGAAGCTTAAATGGAGAAGCAACAGATGGATGCAACAGGTTGGAACTCTGAATTATGAAACACTGCTGCCCTCTAATGGACAAAACTGGCAAAGTAAATAAGTGCCACAGAGGATTGGGATCAATGGCACCTTCCTGGTTCTGACTGAAGCTATGTAAAGGGACTATAGACTGAAGCATATATTGAAGAATCAAGTGAGGTGGCCATGCTGGATTTGTGGCTTTATCCCATTTAACCTAATAATGCAGAGTGGGAGGAAGTAGACTCAGTGCCTCCAGCATCGATGTAAACTTTGGATTAACAAATGTACTTTTTATGTAACTGTATGTTTTTATTTTCTATTTTTAAAATGGCCGCAGAATCAAAACACTTACTGAAGAATGGGATGGACATTTTCTATTTAATGAGAAAAAAAGATGTGCAAGTATTTATCGGGGTGTTCCCTTTTTATTGTTTTTTTTTTTAATCCAAGCTAATTATTAATATAATTGTTGAAAAGTTGCTTTTGTGTAGCTGTTGTTTTTTTCCAGGTACACTCTAACAGTTAATTAAGCTTATGTATGCTGAGGTTTAATGCTTCTACACAGGTACAGCAGCAGAATCCAACATGGGATTTGGAATACATAGTCTGTTTTAATGCTGAATATTGTAATAAACCTGGCAAACGAGCCTTGTCATTTGCCATCTGTTTGTGTGGGTTTGTATAGACTTACCTGAAATCCAGAACAACTCCAGACTTGCAAATGCATCTACAACATAAACGTCATTACATGTGCAATAAAAAGAAAATGAATAAATTAAATAAATTCATGCAGGATTTGCTGGAGAGGTAAAATAAGAAAATTACAATTGGTATACTGGGAAGCAAGATTATAATTACACTACATTAATCTAAATTTAGCACCTGATACATTTTAGTATAAAAAAAAACAAAATGGCACAAAACACTGGATATTTACTTAAGGTCTGCACTTACCCATACATGTAGAATCACAAAGAAGGAAAACAAACGCACCATAACTTAATGAGTTTATTTGTTTCAGCACTGAAGATGCTCACAGTTATTTTATATGGGGATTACATCAGTCAGTTTTGTTCCTGCTCTGTCAAAAGACCGCTCTGGGCCTCAGAATCATTGGATGTCCTTGGTGCTGCTAGCTTCCCATTGTAGAAAACAGAAAGGAGGGTGAACAATAGGGTATTGCTTTGTGTTTGTGTATTGATATCCCCTCACTGTGCCCCTTCCACCAACAGGTAGAGAGAGCCCAGACCTCTGAGCCTTCCAGAGAGAGGTACAGAGTAAAGGAAGCATCATTCAAAAGCTTTGTGTACAAGATAAGAGGAAGAGAAAGGGAAAGATCAGCGGGAGCAAGGGAACAATAAAAAAAAAAAAAAAAAAGGCCAGAAATAAAAGCAAAGAGGGTGAAAAGTAAGGGACAGAGGGAATTTAAAACGTTAAAAGGTAGTTTTGTGGAGAGAGAACTGATGAAGGCTGAGAGAAGGAGTGAGTTTGGCATGGAACATGAACACTGAAGCCATGCAAAGAAAAGCTCATGTTTGACATGCACACAGCAATACAAGCTAAAAGCATAGAGCAGGAATCCCCAGCATGGTTGAGAAGACAATCAACCCCCACGGTTTGTCTGTTTATTTACAAAGAGAAGAAGTAGATTGGGATCTGTGGTGTCCTTCTCCTCAGGCCTGGCCTACAAGCACAATAATATGAAACTGACAAATATCAATAGAAGAGCATATTCCCTCTCCAAAAAGAGGCTAAGTCTACATTCTTAAATTACTGGTAAATAATTTTTTTGAAGAGTTCCCACAAGTTCTCTTCCCCTCTTCATAGAGGTCAGGGAATTTGTGACTTGTGGTTGTTCACATAATTCTGTTAAATTCAGACCAAAACAAAAGAAAAGGAAAAAAAAGTTATTTTTTTTCTTCAAATGTTGCCCCATTTACGAACACACAAGAGGGTAATAAATAACATTCAACTGACCTAACAGCTTTGTTCATATAAATAGCCAAGTTATAATAAATTAGGAACTCAAACAGTGAAATGAACAAACATGAATAAATAAGGACAGAAATACAAAAATATCCACAATTGCATTTATCACGTCATCATTTTTTTGTTCCTCTACTCCTACTGCTGGTATGTGAGACTAAGAGAGAGGTATAAATGGAAAACCAAAGACAAAGTGCTGCAGATAACACAAACAGGAATGTTTGGATCATCATTAGGTCAATCAAACAGAGACATAAATGATCATGTAACAAAAATACACAGAAGAATTTAAAACAACAGAATGTGGCAGGCGCAGGTTTACCAACCTGAACCTATGGTACTAAACATAGTGTCACAACTAGACATTTTCTTTTTTTTCTTTTTTTTACATAAGAAATGATATCAGCTCTGTACAGACAGGAATAGTCATTCATTTTAAATACCCCACATAAACCACCCACATCCCCCCCCCCCCAAACCCTGTACTATCATATCATCTGCCCCCTGCCCCATTCAGCTCACACCCTACTCCTCTCTGAAATCACAATTCCAGTCCGTTTGCAGCAATAGAGTTAATTCTAATAAAGTCAGTTAGTATTTTAAACCCAGTTCTTCACAAAGAAAGTACATTAAAAAGCAAAGAAATACAATCCAGCAAGCATCCGCGTCGGCTGTTTGGGCTTTCCACAAAACTCCTCCTCCTTCTCTCCTCCTCTGAATCAGTCAGTGATTCTGCATGTCTTCTTTTTTATTGTTGGTGTTGTTCATGTTCTTGTTAATACATCCCAGAGTTTTTTGTGCATACTGGACCTGTGCATGTATGCATGTATATGTTGTGTGTATGCAGTGTCTTTTTGTAAAATGCTAGTTTCCAATTAATGAATGCTCCTTGAGCACAAAGAAAGGAAGGTGGTCGGGGTTGGCGAGGGGAGTGTGCGTTCTTGTTTCGCTGGCGTGTGTGTGGATTAGTTGTGCATGTGTGTGTGTGTTTGTGTGTTTCTTGGATGGGGGGGGAACACTTAAGGTATTTCCATCTACTTCTACTGATGGCTGCCAGAGGTGGAGAAGGGGCGCAGAGGGAGATGAAGGTAGAAGTCTGCATGAAGGGTCTGTTTCCATGGTAACCCTCCACCCTCTTAGCGCACCTCTAAAAGCAGTCCTCCGTCAACAAATGTCCGTCTCTCTCAGCACGCTCAGGGGGGTGGAGGGGTGGTCGAGGGAGGGCGAGCGGAGCAGGGAGCAGGAGGAGGGACTTAATAGGTTTTCTGGATAATTCCTGGTATCAGAAACAAGTCAGGTCATCACACATGTTAGCAGCAAGGGAGCAAAAAACAGAGCAAGGGCCACAGGCGATGATGGTTGGTGTAGAGGGGTGGATGAGGATGGTTGACATTGAGGGGTGATGAAAAGGGGAGTGGAGGAACAAGATTGTGTGTTTGTAATGTAGGTGCAGTATGCTTTTTGTAAAATATCACTTTGATTCTCTCAATATATTTCTATCTATATAAAGTCATTTTATACAAAACATATGTCCATAAATGAGTATATACATCTAGCTATGCACAAAGAGAATTTTCCCTCCGTGCCCCTGGCTTATAATGATACTGGGATGGGTTTTAGCACTGGCTCGACTACACAGCTCCTCAGTCTAAGACTCCTCCTGTGTCCCCACAGATGCCAGCGACAACTTGGGTCTGTCTCGGCCCGCAGCGGGGCATTTGGTGTCATTATTTTCTGGCTCGTGCCTCCGGACGTGCATGGGCGAGGGGCAGTGCTTGGAGGGCGTGCCAGAGGGGTAGGGCACCTGTCCGTTCTTCTCGTCTGAAAAAAGTTGTTTTATTACGTCAAAGAAGTTACTCAATGGGCTGCCTAGGTACACAGATGGGAAGAAAAGAGGACAAAAAAGGGGGAAAGAGAAGAAAGAGAACAAACAAACTAATGAACAATGGGGTTCACAGGATAGAGACGCGGCTACAGGTAAGACAGAGCAAGCAGAGGCGAGGAGGAGGACTGAGCAGACAAAGCGACGATGAGAACTGCTGGGGCAGCCATGTTGGGACACAGTTATATGTGAGCTCTCGTAAACCATGCATATGTCACAGCACAACCAATGAAAACACACAAATATAATAGGAGTCAATGTAAACGTAATGTCAAATGATATAAACTGTATGCAGAAAGAGTAAGCATGGTGTATCTTCTGAGTGAATGTGAGCCCTAGCAGGTCTGGCCAGCCAGAAGCAGGACAGATGATGGAAGGAGCACAATGAGAGACATCACTGTGGCACCGAAGGGCAACTTGAACCTCAGCAAAGCGTATATGATGGAGGCTGTCTATCTGATGGCTATTGTACCGAGTGAGGCACATCTAATGCGGTAATGTTTGGACTTAAGCCTGCCTAGAGCAAAGAGACAGCCTTTGATCAACACATTTCTACACCTGAGTTCAGTGTTGAATTTTACACTTTAACTGACTATACAAACCTGGCCAAAGACATCAAACACGCTGGGAGGCTGCATCATCATTGTGCCAACTCTTTGAAGTAAGAAAAAGTCCAACTCATGTGATTTGACCACAACAGAGTCAAAACTGTGGTGAGTTGCATGTAAGTCGTAAAAATACTGTCTTAACTCGATGCTGTATGCTGAATAAAATAAGTTGATATGCTAAATAATAATAATAAATAAAATAAATAACAAAAAGTTTCTTCCCAACTGCTATACTTAGAGGCGGTGTGTGTGTGTGTGTGTGCGTCCAACAGTACGCATGCAAATGATCTTCAGCTAAATGCACTCACTCTTTCTGCAGGGCCTTAATGGTCCCACTGCAGGTAGGTGGAGTGGTGAGGACACCAAACATGAGAAATGGAGCAAATAAAGAGTCAATGTTCTTTTTGTTAATGGTGCACACACAGCACATCTCTGGGAACTATCAGTCACAAACAGGACTGTTTCTGAATACTTGGCAAGAGCCATTTGCACAATAGAGTCCTGTGGGCCGAGAAATGAACAGTGACAACATCAGTAAAAACAGGCAGGGGGGCTGCACAGATGACAAAGCACACGCACACACTGGACTGGAGACTGTCTGTGTATCTGCACTTAATAAAAGGCTGTTGGAAAGCCTAATTGCCATTATGGCTGGCTTGTGCTAAGAAATCGTCAATTCCAAAAGTTAGCCTGACAATCTGCACACGCTGCCAGTGTGAAGACTTCCAGCAGTAGTCTGGAAATTAGAGTGAATTTCTTCTAATCATGAATGAGCGAATGTGTTTTTGTTGTTGTGGTTGTCTATGTGCCACAGTTGGTTTTCGCCTGCTCCATTATCCAGCTGGAAAGCTGGAAAGCCAACTTCTCCCCAATGCTCCCTCTCCCTTTCTCATGTGTAAAGAATTCCACATTTAGTCACTTCACTCCACCAAAATCTGCACATTTTCAAAAATGTCAGTAAACTCATGAAACTTAATACTGTCAGCTGTTAACAGAGACGCCACCCTGTAAGTGAACGGTTATCCTATGTGATCCTCAAGCATGCTCGTTGTGTTCTCCGTCCTTCTATTGTCCCAGCCCTCTATTGTCTTCCTAAGCTCCCAGGTATGCTGCTGTTAATAGTGATTATGGGACCTAATGACCAAGACTTGATGAAGCCTTTTGTTTGACAGACATTGGTATGCAAAGCAATTTCTATTGTTAATTACAGCCACTGGCTTCTTCAAGTGCCCTGTGGTCAGGTAGTGCAAAAGGTGTGTTAGGAGGCCAAAGGAAAGAGGAAGGAGGAGGAAATTGAGTTTAACAATGCTTTCAATTACAGCAAAGCACACTTTTTTTCATATAATTCATATTACAGTGTGAGAGATTCTGAGAGAGTAATGAGAAATTAATTTAGACTGACCTTGGTCAAAAACAACTGGCATTGATACTAAATGTATCTGCTTTGATAGTGTTCACAGAATACTGTACTTCATTATTTGTGTTTTGTAATCTACTGGTTTAAGTGGTTCTAATATTACACACAGTACTCTTACAATGTTATCTCTGCTGCTGAAACAACTCCCAGCAGTGGTTTAAACCTAATCCAATGCAATTTATTCTAATTTCACCCTCCCCATACCTCATCCTGTTAATTAGCACTACAATAATATAACAGATCAGAGGTAATTGGTAAACTTACTGAGGCACAGCAATGATAACAGACTGTTAAATATCACAACAGCTGTGATGACTGCTGTTCATTTTGTGAGTGCCAGTGAGAGTAACATTGCTTAGAAGCCAAGGAGCAAAGACAACAGCTCACACTTGTAACTTATAGTATACTAACAGAGTATTATAAGAAGCTTTATGTTGGCTTTGTGTCAGATATGGAAGAGAAAATGGGGTTGAAAGGATACAGAAAGACACAAACATACAGACACCAAGAATATGATTCCTGGATGGGATAAAACTGACATCCAAAGAAAACAACACATTCCCTGACAAAAAAAAGGTGCATTTCAGGTTGGTGGTGTTTCCCTACATGTCCAGCAGGTGGAGCTGTTGTCAAGAGGATGGCGACCAACACTCACATAAACAGAGCGATGATTCACAAGGAAGGACATGCCAAGGGGAGGAGTCAGATCCCTAGTTCTCGCTTATTTTTATTTTCAGCACCCAGACTGTGTTGAGTGTAGAAGATGGAGCCACATTGGGGAAAGAACGGGCTTATACATGTCCAGAGACTCAGCATCAACCCTACAACTAATGAGAAGATGGAATAACGTAATAAAGTTTACAGGTGAACGGTTAGGTGGTGATGAAGGTTGCCCTTCAGAGGTTTCTGTATCTACTCGGCAAGCTTTGGAGGAGCTGGTGGATGGGGGAAAACAGGGGGAGGGGGTCCTATTGTACAAGCACCCAGAGAGAGAGAGAGAGAATGTTTCTCTTCAATTATATGTTTGGTTCGTTGGGGTTCTTATCGTATTTATTACAGTTCATTGTATGTCTTTGGAATCATTGAACACTTCCATCTCTACACCTGGAGCTTTATCTTCATATGTGCGATTTGCCGCCAACCGTCTCTATCCTCTTCTTTGCACAAAAGAGTATTTTTCCTCCTCCTCCTGCTTACCAAAAATAATGATCTTCGATGGGTTTTACAGCTTGCTCGACTACACAGCCCCTCAGTCCTAAACTCCTCCTTGTCCCATCAGATGCCAGCGATCCAACCTCGTTCGTTCGTCGGCTCGAGCAGCGGCACACCTGGTCCTCCATCCACTCTTGGGGTCTTCTGCCGCGCAACGTTGCACCATGGCGAGGGCGGCGCGCGAGGAGCTTCAGTAGTGCTTGGAGGCGATTAGCCAGAGGGGTAGCGGAGGAGAGCACCACTGTTCCGACTCTATATCTCTCTACTGAAAAAGTTTCGTTTTATTACGTCAAAGAGTTACCTTCAATGGCTTTAAGCCTTATGTACACAACGATCTTGAGAAAGATAAAAGACAAAAAAGGGAACCGGAACGTATATTAGCGACAGATAACTAAACAATAAGATAAATCCTATACGAATCGGGACACGTAGATAAAGCCGTCTGAGACCGCTTACATAAATGTGACCAGCACGACTTACGAGGACGACGCATGAGAACGACACAGCCACGCTGTGATCAACACGACGAGATAACTCCGGTGGGGAGCAGCCTATGTTGGGACCACAGTATATTGAGCCTTCGTAAACCATGCTATGTTCACAGACAACCAAATGAAAACACACAAATATAGATTGAGTGTTTGGTTTTCAAAGTATGGAATCTATAGTCAAAAGTGATTATTTAATATAGCTTGTATGTTGTTCAATGAGAAGAGTGAAAGCAAAATGGGTACGTTTGCTCTGAGTGTAATGGAATGGCCGGTAGCTTAGGTTTCCTTGGCTCAGTTCCAGAAGCTAGACAGATGATGGAAAGGATGACACAATGAAGTAGATCAGTTCAACTGTGCTATCTTGGACATGGGGCCAAACTTAATCCAGCTAAGCGATATATTCAGGATTGGCGTGTGGATCCTGTCTATCGGAAATGGCTATTTGTATCTCTTTTTGTTGTTGTGATTGTGTGAGTGGATGTGACGCATTCTAATTGTGATAGGAGTGATTTGGACTGGTATAGCCTGCCTAAGAGCAAAGAGGACAGGCCTTGGTTGATGCAACACTGTTGCCTACACCTGTGGTGAGGTGGCGAGGTGAATTTACACCTTGAACTGATCTATATCAAGAACCGTGGTCTTTAAAGATCATCAAACCACTCTTGGTTATTGGCTGCAATCCATCCATTGTGCCGAACGTTCCTTGGTGTAATTAAGGAGATAAGTCCAATCCTATGGATTTGACTACAATCAGTGAGGGGCGAGAGCAACTGTGTGAGTCTGCATGTAAAGGTTCTTTTTAATATAAATATCGTTCTTAACTCCGCATGCTTTTGTGTATTGGCTGAATAACTACATATACGTTGATTATGCTAAATTAAGGTAATTTATGGATAGATAAATAAATAACAATAAGTTTCTCCCAAAACTGCTAACCTAAGCGTGTGGTGTGTGTTGCGTCCCAACAGTCACGCATAGCAACCATGATCCTTCAGCTAAAATTTTCATCTCCCACTCTTTTCTGCATGTGTCTTAATGGTACGCACTTGCAGTGTATGGTGGATGATTGAGGACACCAAACATTAGATATATATGGAGCTAAATAAAGGTCAATTGTTCTTTTTTGGTAATTGTGTGGCATCTATGGCGAGCTAGCACATTTCTCGGAATATTCTAGTCCTTTATACAGTGCTGTTTCTGAATATTTGCAAAGTATCCATTTTGCACAAGGATGATGTGTTCCGTGGTCTGAAGCGATAATTTGACTAGTGATCAACATCTATTGTATATCTTATATCAGCAAGGTGGGGCTGCACAGATTGACAAAGCACACCACACAATGACTGAGACGTCTGTGTTGTATTTCGGACTGTTTAAATATTAAGATGGGTGTTGGAATAGGCTCTATAATGTGTTCTTTTATTGTGGCGGCTGTTCTAAGACTATATCGTTTTATTCTCTATAAAATTATTGCCCTGGAAATCTGCACACTCGGCCTTAGTGGTGAAGTACTTTCCCTATGCAGTGGTGAGTCTGAATTGAGTGAATTCTTCATCATGAATGAGCCGAGAATGTTGGTTTGTTTTTTGGTGTGTGGTCTAACGTGTGTTCCACTATGTGTTTTTCCGCTCATGCTCCATTTGCGCAGGGACTGGTAAGGCTTGTAAAGCTCAAACTTTCTCCAATTGCTTCCCTCTGTCCCCTTTTCCATGGTGTAGGAGAGAATGTCCACATTTTAGTTTTCATCGGTCACTCTCAGCTTTAAGGAGATTCGTGCACATTTTTCCAATTATAATTTAGTAATACTGCATGTAGAGCTTATTATTCTGTGCGAGTGCTGTTATGACAGTAGAACGTCATCCTTTTTTGCTGTGTGGTAATTTAATCTTATTCGCTATTGTTGATCTCTTGCGAGAGCATGCTCGTTGTGTTCTCCTGTCCTTCTATCTGTGCCCGATGCCAGTTCTTAATTTTGTGTAGCAGTTCCTAACTCCCCAGGTTATTTTGCTGTTATGTATAATGTGTTTAGTTGAGTGTTATGAGGAAACGGTAGATCCAAGATTGTGAATTGAAAGTCGCTTTGTTTGACAGGACACTTGTGGTATCTATATGAGTCAATTTATTGTTATAGTATTACAGCCCGACGCGTTTTCTTTCGAAGTGTCTTCGTTGTAGTTGTGTTAGTGCTGGCAAAGGGTGTTTAGGAGGTCAATTTAGTAGTATAGGAATAGGATGGTGAATAGTTTTGATGGTTTAGATATATTTGCTTTCAATTACAGTGGTGGTTTTTGCAAAGCAGCGACGTTTTGTGTTTGTTGCGATAGAGTAGTGTTGTGCTTAGTTATGATTCGGAGTGTGGTGTATGTAAGTATGTGTTCGTGAGAAGATGTGTCTAACTGTTTGTAGAATATGTTTTAATTTACTGAGCTGTATGTGGTGTGTGTGTCAGGGTGACCTTCGGCAGAGGGTGGACATACTGGTCTTTGTGAAGCGTTAAGGGTTTGTTTTGTTTTGTGGTTATGGGGTTCGTGGGTCTGTTCTGTTTGGATAGTTGGTGTCACAGAATATGTCGTACTTCATTATTTGTGTTTGGAATGGTTTCTAGTCTTGGTTTAAGTGTGTGTCTAAATTTTTATCTACTACAGTACTTTCTTTTATCGAAAGTTTGTTTTATGTTTTTCCTTTTTCTGCATGTGAAAACATCCCAAGTTCATGTTCTGTTTGAAAACCTTATATTTCCATAGCATTGGTATTTTTCTTAATTTCTACCTCCTCCTCCAGTTTTGTCTTAGATGTTGAGTGGTGTTTGCGGTTTGTTGGTTTTTTATTTTTTTTGTTGTTTGTTTTTTTTTGTAGTTTTGTTGTTGGGTTGGTTAAAAAAACCTCAATCCTGTTATATAATACATACAATAATATAACCAATCAGAGGAATTGGTAAACTTAACTGAGGCACAGAACACAAAAGTAAAGCGGAGCAATGATAACAACTGTTAATATCACAAAGCTGGATGACCTGCTGTTCATTTTGGAGGCCAGTGAGATAACATTGCTAGAAGCCAAGAGCCAAGAAACAGCTCAACACTTGTAACTTATAGTATACTAACAGAGTAATTATAAGAAGCTTTATGTTGGGCGTTGTGTCAGATAGGAAGAGAAAATGGGTTGAAAAGGATAGCAGAAAGACACAAACATACAGACACCAAAGAATATGATTCCTGGATTGGATAAAACTGACATCCAAAGAAAACAACACATTCCTTGACAAAAAAAGGTGCATTTCAGTTGGTGGTTTCCCTAACAATGTCCAGCAGGTGGAGCTTTGTCAAGAGGATGGCGACCAACAACTCACATAAACAAGAGCGATTGATTCACAAAGTGAAGGACATGCCAAGGGGAGGAGTCCCAGATCCCGTAGTTCTCGCTTATTTTTATTTTCAGCAAACCCAAGACTGGTGAGTGTAGAAGATGGAGCCACATTGGGAAAGAACGGGCTATATCATGTCCAGTAGACTCAGCATCAACCCCCTACAACTAAATGAGAAATGAAACGTAATTAAAGTTTACAGGTGAACGGTTAGGGGTGATGATAGGTTGCCCTCTTCCCAGAGGTTTCTGTATCACCGGCAACTTTGGAGGAGCTGGTGGATGGAAAACAGGGGGAGGGTTCTAATTGTACAGCACCGCAGAAGAGAAGAGAGAGAGGAAAGAGAGGGAAAAGAGATAGAGAGAGAAGAGCAAGAGAGCGCGAAAGAGAGAGAGAGAGAGCGAGAGAGCGCTTGTCAGGTGTGGTGTGGTTGTGCGGTGCAGTGCATTGTGGGAGTGCGTTGAGGTGCAGTGGTGTTGCCATGGTGACAAGCTCCGACAATCAGTCTTGGAAGTAGGAGTAACAGAATGCAAATCAGCTTACCCTACCTCTACTCTAATCTTCACTGCCAGGGCATCGAGACAACGTTTGACCCGTGCTCAAGAGCAACTCCCACCCTTTCAAGGCATGCAGAAGAAGCTTTTCGAGAAGCGGAGAGTGTCTCAGGGATTTCAAGCACGGGGAAGAGGAGGGCAGGATTTAGCTTAGCTTCAGCCGTGAGAGGGGGTTCGTCAGGGGGTGGGATGGGTGAATGAGGCGGGTTAAAGGTGAAGAGGTTTTGGAAAATATTTTGAAATTATTATTTTGAAAATAGAAATTCTTACTCACCAGACAGCTGTTGGACACCAGGCTGGTCATGTGTGCTTAACAACTGGCTCTGAATCGTCTCCACTACTCGCTTAAAGCGCCGGCTTGGTCCTGAACAATAAAACCAACAGAGGAAGTATTGGCATGATCAGTTGCATCAGACAGACAGCAGAATATAGAAAATATATAGATGGAAAAATTAAGAGTGGAAAAAAGTAAGAGTGGGTAGAGTACTAGAGTAAGTGCATACACACAAAGACATGGTTTGAAATGTGAGCTGGGAAAGCTGCAGAAAGCCTGTGATGATGAATGGAGGCCAGTGAGGAGGGCTTCTGTAAGCTCCTGCTGTCTACCTGTTGTATACAGTATGGTCAGTGACACGGAAGAACCAGCAGGCTCCAAACAGCAACTATTACACCCCATTCAGCTCAAATGTGTCCCCCACTTGAGTGTGTGTGTGAGTGTGCGTGTCTGTGCCTGTAAATATGTGTGAGACAGAAAGAGAGGGAAAGAGAGCATGCACGTGTTTCTGCTAGACTGCAAGAATGCACGCACGATTGCATAGTATGTAATCTTGCATAGCCAGACCTAATCTTGTTACGCTCAGGGAGGTTTGGGGAAAATCTTATCAAGTATACAGGATTGGAAGAACTTTGAAAATCCTTAGGCAGCCATTCTTTTTGGCAGAAAGTTTGAGAGCACCCACCTCTGGAAGCAGCACTTCTAGTTTATTTGTTGGCTGAATACGAATATAGTTTAACTTCATTAGTTTGAAGTGTGACAGCAACCCACTCAACATGTAAGGGATGCCTTTCCACACCTTTCAAAGTGACTTGTGAGCTTGAATTTCCCAAAGACCTCTGTGAGCCTGATGAGATGGAAGATTACATAATACTGTATGTAACTCTTTCCTCTGTGATTTGTTGTCTCACAGCAGAACGGTCCTTGGGTTGAACCCTTTCTGTCTGGACTGTTCACAGGAGAAGGAATCAAATCCCACCTAAAGTAAAGGCACTGCGCTTTATTGAAGTGCAAAAACAAAATATGTTTTTAGTTCCCCCTCTTCTATAGAGCACTCAGCCAATCTGTGCAACTGGACACCTGCTTTGTGTTCCATTACTGTTACTACACTTCACTGTTTTTTATTCGTCTGCAGTTAGCATGTTCGGTGTTTGGGTGCAAACTAGGTCGCCTTAATCAAAGATTCTTTGTAAATGTGTAAATATAAATGTAGTTTTTGATGTGTTCCTCTGATAGAGGAAAAGGGTCCAACTCGAGACCTCACATCTGGGGACCTATCTTACAGTAGTGTCTTTTGTTTTTTAATGTTATTTTGCCAGATTTGTGAATGGATCAGGATAAAAGGGTAACAGTATGGTTGCTTCATCAGCAAACACAAAGTCACCATATACAACAGAGACTCAGCTCACTGGGGTGTCCAAAGTCAGAATATCTCTTGACAAACCGGGGACCAGTCCAGTGTGCATCGCCTCTCTTGCCCAATACATGCAGAATAAGCAGGTATAGAAAAAGAGTAGATTGTTTGTAATTCGGTGCATCCTGACCTGAGAGCAGGGTGAAGGTGACAGAGTAGATGCCATTTTCCTTGGTGGCGGCTGTGCTCTCTGTGTAGGTGATATCCACCTGGAATTTGACCGGCTTCTGGAAGACTGTAGGGCCCGCTGTGGACTTGTACTCTGCTCTGAAACTGGTTTGAGAGATCACACTGTGGCTCAGGCTGGGGATCTGGAAGAAGAAAAAGAAGAGTAGTCAGTAAAGGAAAAATGGACAAAGAGGCAGAGATAGGAATAAAACTAGGTAGTTAAAAGAGGCGAGTAATGGGATTATACATAGGGAGCATTGATGTTTAATTTTTCTCCCACACCTTTCAAATGACAAGGTGAATAAACCCTCATTAAAATACCCTCCACATACTACCGAGCCACAGTTGAAACTCTAAGGAGATTAATGCCTCGGGGAGTAGCCATGCATGCCAGAGAGACTTAAACTAATGTAATCTTGAATCATCCAACAACATTGCACTCTCCCACCTAAAATGAATTTGTATGCCCAATGAACAGGTGAGCTCTGAAATAGTCACGTTTCGCCACAGTGCTGGAGAGGGTTTGACATTCCATTAATGTGAGTGTGCTGAGAGGTATAATTCCACTGATTCAGGTGCCAATCTCCTGTCTGGAATACCAGCTAGCATAACCCAGAGGAGAAAATAGCTGCCTACAGGGATGGGGAAACAGATTTGACATTGACCTGCACTGGCAGAGTTTGCATTTACTTAGACTTTGTTAAATCTAACTCGGGTGAGGATAGGTTCTGTTCAATTATGTACACTGAATATCAACTACCACTGCTGAATGTTTGTTGATACAGATTACGCCATGTTCGCCAAGAAACCCTGATGTTGCCTGCATTCCAGCATGTATTTGAACATCCACACTATCATAAACACACCACACATACAGATACAATCTACACTATTTCGCAATTTCTCGCACTACACTTTTAAATATGCACACAGACACACACGCACATGCTCAATAGACGGTACTGAGGGCAAAGCATCTATATGCTAATGATCAATGCTCTCTGTTGATTTTCTATTGACCTCAAGTGAGTCTGCAGTCAGAGAGAAAATAGAAGCACTGAACACAAGCAGTTTACTGAATTGCTACATAAATCAGAAGCATGTTAGCAAACACTCAGAGAGAGGCTGCCTCATGGCATAGCCAATTGCCACTGCGGTTAAAAGAGGCAACGTCCTGCATCAGACAACAGATACACAGATAAGACCGCTGCATGAACACACATCTAGGTTATAAAGAGAGAAGCTGGGGCACAGGGGTCAGAGATCAGATGGTAGAAGGGATTAGGGGAGCAGTGGAGACAGGGAAAAGGTAAGGTTATAAGCAAGACAGCGCTGTGTATACCGAGAGAAAGGCTTGAACGATGTCTGCCTTGATGGAGCTGAGAGGCTTGTCTTTGATGACAATGAAGATCTGCTCCTCTTTTTCCAGGTTGATGAAGTTACCAAACCAGGATTTTTTGGCAAGTCTGTGGGGAGAGACAAGAATAAGAAAAACATGTCAGCTGCAAGTTTATATTGATTCCTGCTGTATACGCGTACTAGAGATTTTGATTTGTCTTCCTTTCACCATTTTTGCTTCCTTGTTTTACCAACCCATCCAATCTATCCCATCTATCCATCTTTCTCTGCAGCTCTGGGGAAAAGGAAAGGAGCAAACAGAGGAAACCTCGAGGGAAATGAGCTAAAACTGTTCAGGGGAGGAAAGTTTTCTCACTTTCACCTTTTGTGCAACTGGGTAATGCACGTGTGTGTGTGTGTGTGGGAAAGAGAGAGAAAGATAATTGAGCCTGTCTGTTAACAGAACTGTAGGTCCATAGGGGGCAGAGGTAGATGAATTCACTACTGGCCTCAGCCCAGGTGTACCTGCACCCACTAATAAGCCATATGGACTCCTGTTTTCTGGCATATTAATATTTCATGAGATTCTTGAAAATGTTGATGGACTCAAACTTCAGCAAAAAGAGAAATACTCCCTGATCCCCCACTTAAATATAAATAAATACTAAATGTAAAATGTAAAAATAGAAGTAGAGACTTACATAATGTTGTAATGGCTGCAGAGACATTAGGGGGCATGTTGAGCAGTAAGAAGCGGGTTACATCTGGTGTGTGACTGTGTATGCCTGTGATCAAGCCCAACCCAGCTAAGAGAAGGTCTTTTCTAGCCATCTCTCCAACTCCTTCCAGCCAGGATGTTCTTCCCAGCCAGATGGAGATGGCCAAGCCAACCAGCCAGCCAGCCAAACAGGCATATCTAGGCCAACCTTGAGTTATCAGGCCCCTGGGAGCTCAGCAACATCACAGAGGATACCTTCCCTACCTCATAACCAACCCCCTACCTCCTGCTACGGTGCTGCTTCTCCATCCCAGACCAGACCTGAGGTCATTACGGGGAACTCAGCAGGTGAAAATCAAACATTCATGGTTGTAATACTTTCCAAAACATCATGCTATCAAGAGTGAGCCTGTTTGAGCCAATAACTGAGGGGCTGACAGGTTATGCATAATTATGATAGCAGTGGTGGCTTCAAAAAGTACAGCAATAAAGTCTACTCACTCTGGGGAAGACTCTGGTGTGAGACTGGACATCTCGTCTTGTGTGGGAACTGTGGAAAGAGGGTCAAAGGTCAGCAAAGGGTGAAAGGCTCAGAGACAGATAACAAGTAGATCATACTAGTACAGTAAGATGTTAGGAAGGATGAAATTAACACGATTACAAGGTAATTCAGCGTTAACCATAAAAATCTGCTGTAATGTCAGTACCTTGGAGTTTCCTGCGGTGGAAGCGTGGGGAGCCCAGGAAGCTGTTCTTGATGGAGTTGAGGCGCGTCCTCCAAGGCATGCCTCCAATGGAAGGGCTGGGGGGCGGTGTTGGGGTGGGGGTCCCAGCCGGGCTGTCCTTGGGAGTGTGCACCGGGGTGCCCTTTGGGGTGGGGAGGGGACTGCCTCGAGGGGAGGGGTGAGGGGTAACCTGTATGAGGGGGATAGATTTGGGTGGGTGGTCAGTGAATGAAGAAGGCACCGGCGCCACAGGGTGAAAGTGGTGCAGCCGGATGGGCGACAGGGGCACCACTGGGCTGAAGGGCACAGAGAGTTGGGGGTTGGCAGAAAAATGGGAGCGCCGTACCTGGGGGCTGTTTGGAATAGAAGCACTGGGGATGGGGGATGGGGAAAAGGGTGAGGATGGGGAGGACGGAGAAGTAGGGGTGGGGGGCACAGAGGCTGAGGGTGGCTGCAATGGGAGCTGGCAAGGAGTGGAGGACTCTGAATTGGCTGCAGATGCTGGGTCTGGGGAGAGTTCAGGGAGCGGGTTAGATCGTGTGGCTTGGAGGGGCTTGGGTACAACTTTAGGCTTGGCGGGGAGTGTCTGCGTCTTGTTGAGTGCTGCTGGCAGGGGCTCACTGTTTGGAGCGAGTGAGTTAGGGGTGGAGATACGGGGGCCTGTGCGATTAGGAATGGGCTCAGGGGATGGGCAGGGGCTTGTGTTAGGGGACTGCAACAAGTCTGGAGACTGAGGTGGTACACAGAACTTCCTGACAGGCTGGAGTTAGAAAACACAGTGTGAGGACGCGCAGCACAATACAGCCAAGAGCCAAAGCAGGTGGAGGATGAGAAGAAAACAAAGAAAAACAAAGAAAAACACATGGGGACACATGCGGGCACACAAACACACAGAAAAAGCAAGGGAAAAAGTGCGGCAGATCAAACAACCAAACAGCCAGAAGCAGAGGACAGCCAAAGAATATAGAAGCAGGTGAGATGTGTACATACACGGGAGAGATGGAGGCATTGCAAAAACAGAAAGAAAGAAAAAAGAAAAGAAACATGCAGTTAGACCATTCAGTGACTCATGTCAAAATAAAACAATATAAAAATTAAATGAAAACAACAAACATAGCAAGCAATTTAAAAGCAAAACACATAAAGAAATATGGACTTCACTTGAATAAAACATACAGCAAGCAGACACAGACAGTTGTGAGACATAAGGCCAGCTGTGACGAGAACGGGGCTGTCTCAATAACAAGAGGGACTATTATTATATCTCTGGTACAAAACCTCCAGTTTCCAGATAGGTTAATTGATCTGTTTAATTTGTAACGGTGAAATTGCAGCCACAATGGTGCGCTGATAAACTATTTCCCTCGGACATCTCCCCTATTTCCAGACACAAATCAGAGAAAATAACTCCTCACAGAGCCTCTTGCTGAGAGCACAATCCAGGCTTTGGGTAGGTCTGAGAAATCAATTTCCCTTTCAGATCAGCCTGAAAGAACCTGTGTGGCGTGAGGAGCTCGTTTTAGGATCCTGGCTAATCTCGAGCCTTCTCAGGTTAGTCAGCTGGAAAAGTTTACTACAAGCTCCCCAGCTCTGAGCAAGAAAAGTGGGATTTTCTGAAGCATTCCCTGAGCTGGATTTTCACAGAGCTCAGGCCACAGAAAACAGAGAGAGGGGATAATAAGCAGAAAGGATGGAGAGAGAAGAGGCTTTAGGGGAAGAGAAAATTTGCTGTGCTGTCACGTACCCCGTGAAAGTTCATCAGCATGTTTTTCTTGGAGTTAACAGAAATATCGGACTTTATGTGACGACTCATGTAAAGTCTGATCTAATACTGGATATGAAGAGCTCATCATAGTGGATCTCTGCTTGCTCAAAACGCAAAAGGTAGATCTGAACTGTGGATTAAAACTAAAAAAGGAATAGAAAAATATACTATATCTCAGACTAATAATAAAACGGAACAGTAGAGCTCAATATTGCATGTGCAGAGAGATACAGAGATATTGCTTTCTTAGTGCGTGTGCTTTGTTAAAGGTCAGGAGCCCCAGCAATGTAGCTGTAGTGACTGTCTTTATTTTCTCTAGCGGACATAAACAGCAATAAGATGACAGCAATAAGATGGGATCAGCAGCCGTTGGATGGTTGTTATCCCCGAAGGTGAACAACTACATACAGTACCTGAGAAGTGGGTCAAGAGGTGCGTGTTGTATATGTGTGTGTGTGTGTGTGTGTGTTTGAAAGTGTGCGTAGGGTCGTGACTTACCCGTGGGCTGCTGAGGGGGCTGGTGGAGAGGCCAGAGGAGGCTCCACTAATAGACCGCGACCTGTGGCACAAACACGCAAGAACACACACAGGGGCAGAGATAATTTGAGGGATCAACATGTGTACCCGTTACATGTTTCAGTAAACACAGGTGGAGGTGAAAGCGTGGAGGTTACATGTTGCACACAGTTAGAAAGCACTACAGCATATGTTACCATCATACTAAGCACAGTGGTTGCTATCAAGCCCTTTGCAAACACAACATCTACTCACACAAAGAGGGTAAAAGCATTACAACACAGTAACAGCACTGACTTGACAGCAAACATTACTAGCATTGACTCCCAGCAATTAGTCTAAGACCAATTAAGCTCAAACTTCGGTTTCAAATATGTTGACTTGACTGCAACTTCTCCTGCAAATCTATAGGCTCCTTTCTACAGATTAGCACTGAAATTAGCTTTCCACCCAGTCTATAGTTTGCTAATAAACCGAACATGTTGACTTTTAGGCTCTTTCACTGGATCAGTAGAAAATATCTTGGGGGGAAATGGAGTGGGACATTTGGTTGAGTGCCATTTGTCATGTTTTTTCTTTTCCCCCTGCAGATGCCGTCAATAACCTCTATGAGCAGAGCCCTGCTCAGAAATGAACAATCACAGGACAATCTGTCTCCATCAAGCGCACGCACACACACACACACTAACACATAAAAAACAGGGCTTGTCAACACTCGGAAACACCAGCTGCTCACTGTCACAACACTGCTCCTTTTTGTCATTCAATCTATTAATACCCCCCCACCCCACTCACCACACACACACACACACACACACACACACACACTTTTCTCTCTCACTCTGTCTCTCCCCATTGATACATTTGTGAACATGTGGCCGACTCTACAGATCTTTTGTCTCCCTTTGAAAAGATGAAGAGATGAACACTACAACTAGTGTTTTTTAGGTTGCTTGGTTGTAGAGTAAGACCTCATGGACAAATATGATGGTAGAATGAGGGAGTTTACAGTGATGGTGGAATGAGGGAGGGATGAAAGAATGAAGGATTGGAGGGAGTGATGGAGTAATGGAGACTGATGTTCATTCCGATGCTTGAGCAGTCCCTCGGGGCTGTAGAGGCCTCCATACATGGACACAAAACTGTGTACCCGGTTACAACTAGTAGCCATAAAAATGATACTGGTTCTGTCATAATAACAAGCCCTGATTAAGATCGGTATGTATCAATCTTCTAAATGCAGATTTTAATTTACAACCACTTAAAGAAAGTACTGATACTACAACAGGAATCTTTCACCTGAGAGGCACCAACATGCAAACAGAACAGAAGAGAAGCAACACTAACAGCTACCATGAGAGAGAGGGAAATATATGAACACCCACACTCAAGCTATTTTCGTAATTCTCTCACTGCCCCTTCTGTGAGTGGATTTACTGCACACACTCATGCACACGAGTAGGCGATGTTGAGACCACGTTGGCTAGGAGTTCTTGTTTCAGGGAGCAGCTGACCAGACAGTTGCTATCATTTACATTTAAGTCTTATGGTCCACTGAGACAGGCACACAGTTGCTCACTACAGCGCCTGTGCGCACATAGCCAATTGCACTTCATCTAAACATGGCCAAAACACAGCATCCTCAGGCCATTATGAGCATATTGTTAGAGGCACTCTGCATCTGTTAGTGTTGGACCAGCAGGTCTATAAAGCTAATGTTACAGATGGTTATGCTGTACAGTAATGGGCTGTCAGAGCCTCACCCTTGCTTCGGAGAGACGATGAATTATTGTTGAGTGTTTTATTTAGAGTTAACAGCATACACAACTACAGTAAGCAATCATTTGTCATCTATCGTATAGAAACAAAGACGCTGGGTTATTAACTCTAATGCTAAGACAGCTAAGCCCTTTGTGTGTGTGTGTGTGTGCGCGTGCGTTTGCTTGCTTTAAAGGGCCAGTTCACCATAATTACAAAACAAAACATGTTCTCCAGTAGTATTCAGTCATACAAAGTTTTGGTTTTATTTGTCTGAGTTGAGAGACAAACAAATCGATTATTTTTACATTGCGGTACTGCAATGTAGTAAAGGATTTGAATTCCTCTACGCCACCACTGGAGAGGATCACAAATAAAATTCCATTTATCTCATCTCATACAGGGATATCTCACCTGGACAAATAAAATCAAAACTATCTGCACTGGTGGACACTACTGGAGGTAAATTTGACTTTTTGGCTCCGAAGCGTGACAGTAGTTGCAACCTAGGTGTCTGCAATGGCGTATGTGTGTCCTATACGTGTATGTGTGTGGTTTCCCATTCTTGTCTTTCTATTATCCATTAGTCCTCAAGCTAACATATCCCATAAGCCTGTTTTGGAACAGGACCCATATCCTCAGTTTGTGAACACTGGCTGTGTCACAGACCCATCCAAAGCACCCTTGGGGGTCTAATGCTAGGCTGTGGGGGATGGAACAAGTACAAGAGGTTCTGGGATGAGGGCATGGACTGAAATAAAACGAAAGTGAGGCAAAATGAAATGGATGGTGCCAGGAGTCAAACAGTGGACCAATAACACTGTCACAGCTAAAACACAATGCTACTGCTCTGCTAGTGTGATTTAAGAGGAGAAAGTTAATTTTTTCTCTCTCTCCTCTATATTGACTTTGTTCTGCCAGTTCTTCTACGTGGAGGAGATATTCATATAAATCAACACACTGTTTAAATTCATTTCCTTTCCTGAACCCTGACAACTCCCAGAGGACAGAGTGCATTAATATTCACAGCTCAGCTCCTCAATTTTCTAAATGTAGTAAGACCCCTGCAGTTTCTGCTGTAAAGATCAGTGTTGAAGGTGCTTTATTTGTGCTCATTTGAGCCTCTTAAATAAATTAGAGTCAATAATTAGCATGAGAGTCTGACTTATTAAGACTGCTTTGACTAACCCAACACATTTAAACTGCATGAAGCAACTAGAGCAGATCTGTAAAGAAAAAAAATCAATTGATATTCTCTTCTTCACACTGGAGCACTTTTCCATATTTCATTTACATATCATTAACCTCCCTTCATTTCTCCTGGCATGTTGTTAAGATTTAAAATTAAATCAGTGGGATTTCTTGTTGAGTTCTTTGAGTTAGGCTTTAAATGTCTTTTTAAGATACTTTTAGGTATATAAAAAATGAAATGGGCATTCACATGAAAATGTCTGCTTGGGACTTTTTCTGCAACATGGCTACTGCGCATTTATCCCAAATCTATTCAATTATACATCAGACAAATCAACAATCACATGTATGAAAAAGCCTGGGGAGTTGAGCGGATTTTAACTGCCTAGATGAGATGTCGAGGGAAAATGCTGGATAAGGAGTGGGGCATTTTTGTTGCGTAATTTTAGATAAAAACCGTTTCCCCTCTCTTCCACCATTTACACTGGTGAAAATGTATCCTGTCAAAACACATGTTTCAAAGTCAGTCCTCTCTCTGACACCCTCTGATCTGAAGTTCTATGAATCTTCTGTGCTGTCGACAAAAGTTTGCTGTAGGGGAAAGATAAGGTTAGGTTCAGAGAAAGTCAAATCTTTGGACGTTATTCTGCTTACGTATGTGCTTGCCCAACACGATCGTCTATGTACACACAGAAGCAAGCACATGATCAAACAAAGCGCACACAAGGACGTGATAAAAGGCGGAAAAAAGTTAAAAAACACAACAAAATCCAGATTCACAGAGACTTTGCTACCAACATCTTTTTCCCCCCACTGTCGGAGAGCTATGAATTGCAGTGGGGGGGAAAGAGACGTATAGCAATAGAGAGATTTGATTTGATTTGGAGGCGGAGGGGCTGCGATATTGGACTCCCCCCACCTCCAACCCACTACAGCTGATAGGAAGCCAGACAGAGAAAAACTAGCAGCATTTCCACATTAGCATAGCAATTCCATACAAACAGAGGGGGGCGTTTGGGACTGAAGGTCAGTTGCACACAAGGGACCACAGTAGAAAGAGAGAGAGAGGGGATATGAAAGGGTAGGGAGGAGCCCCTGAAAGAGATTTGGGTGGAGGGGTAAGAACAAACACACTGATTTAAAGTAGCACGGAAGAAAGATGCAGCTGAGCTTTTTTTTTAATGATTGCGGCTGCTGATATGTGTAGGATCCAGACACAAACCTATTTCATATGCTGCTAAATAATAGTTCAAAACACTCATTTCAGTGCCTTTTATATGCCATTTAGTTGTGTTGGATTTATGAACTGGTGTTCATGCTGTTTATTAAAACATTATTAATGCTCTATAAAGTCAATGCAAAGTGCCCTATTTTTGGATTCTAGGCTTGACTGAAAGAGATGAGTCAGAGCGAAGGGCAGAAGAAGACAGTTTCTAAACTAATGCAACCTTTAAATTAAGAAGAGATAAGACTTGGATCGCCTGAAGGGATGAAAGTGCAGAGTAGAGGGGATAAAACACAAGAATACGAATCCTTAAACTGAAATTTAGAGGCACCAGAGGACACAAAGAATTAAGCAAGTGTTTAGAGGTGGGAGCTCTTGAAATGGATAAACTTCTGATGTGGCTTCCCCCAGTGTAATGAAGTGGGAAATATATTCATAATATAATATTTAGTTGTCGGCAAAGCACTATGGTGAGGAGTTATTAATGCATCTGACATTTAAATGAATATTCAACTTTATAACTATATTTTTTTATCTACGTAATATATGCACACGCTGCCTCTGCATTTATGTCCCATACCTCTGAAAGCTTTTTCCTGCTCTCTGCCAACCTGCCTATCATTAGGCAGATCAGGTTATCACCCCCCTCAGATTCAATCTTCCCCGCTGTCACAAATGTCACTGCCTCTGAGCAGAAATGTGTGGTGTGATGATATACTGGTTGTTGAAATAAGATGAGGAAATAGATTTTAAATCAGTCTGCTGTGCCTTGTCGGGGTGTGGTTCTGGCTTGACTAGAACATTTCTAAAATAGAGAAATGGAAAAATGTTCTGCATCCGGAGAAAGTGGGACACAGTATGGGAGAACTGATTATCAATGCATTCAGATTATGAAAAGAAGAGATAATTGAGCAGCACCGGAAAAGGGAGGTTTGCAGACATTAAGGCTCTGAATTGCAAATGCACAGTCTTCCTCAGTTTGAAAATTAAGTTAATTAAGAGAGTTAAGTCAAACTTTAGGAACTACCACCCCAAGACTGTTGACTCTGTTGGATCCAGCTTCTTTCATTTTTCAGATGAGTTACAGCGTATTAAAATAGACTTCTGAAGCAGCCAAATGCTGACGTGTAATCTCCATTTAAATAAAACATTCTTTTAACAGAAAGCACCGCTGCATCTTTCTCCTGCCATGGAAATCCCCTTGCATGGGTGTGAGACACGGAGCGAGAGGAGTTGAAAAGGCCAAGTGAATACCTTTCTTCTTTGCTGCATTTTGTACTGGCGTCAGGAATATCCAAGCTTTTACTGTACACTGATTTACTACAGTGAGACAGGAGACAAAGCGAGCAGTGCGTCAGTCTCTGTTTATGTTTGTCCACAATCTAGCCTGCTGACACCCATAGCCCGACTCACTGTCAGACCTGCTTAAACACCACTGAGCTGCAAGATCCTCCACATGTACACAAACCCACACACAGAGCTATGTATGTTTCTATCTGTTCATTTGAAAATTGTATTGATTTTTTAAAGTTTTTCATTTCACCTCCATGCGTACCTCTGTCCATGCTGCGTCATGTCGATGGCCCTCCTGGCTGGTACAGGTGAGCCTCCGTCTGTGACACTGAGGACCTCCATGGACTTCCTCTCTGGTCTCCTCTTGCCATGACGGTTCAACATGGGAGAATCCACCCGCTTCCTTGGAGGATCTATGCCAAACAAGCACGACATATCGATTCAGAATCAACACAATAGCCCTTGACATCTTACATGTTAATGTTTGTATTTCTTCACATTGAGTGGTTTTCGTGCATTGCGTGCATATGTGTTATAAGTGTTTGAGTGATGTTTAGTGCTGATCCCATTGACATTTTAACTAATAGTGAATAAGTAATGGTTTCCTCCCAGACCTTGAACTAATGGCCACTGTATTGACTGTATCACATTCACTGAAGAGGGAGTCTATCCATCAAAATGTCGGTATCTCACAGCATACACACTCACACATTTGCACACAATACCCCCACCTATTGCAATGCTCTTGTCACAAAATAACTCTGTCAGAAGTCTCTCGTAGAAGTTCTAGCAGAGCATCTTTGTTTCGGCTCAGATTTCTGTGGGTGGAATTCTGTGCTGGGTTGTGCTGCACGAATGGGAGAATACCTTTTTTTGTTTTTTTGATGTGTTAATATCCGATCCGAAGCAGTTGAGCTGACAGTTTTTCTCTGGCCTATTGACACCTTCTATTTTTGCTACTATATTTCATTGAGAAGCTTGTCTATATTTCATAAACAGAAAGCATTTTCTACTGGAGAGCCAGACCAAGTCTACTGAAGCCGATCCAATTTCTTCTGAGGGAAGAAAAAAGTTCAGACATTCGGAGCATTCAGGAGTTACCTTCCTGCAGTATGTGTTCCTGTCTAAATTGGTTTGTTTTACAGAGTAAACAGCTGTCTATTCATGATGTAAAGTTAGCCACATAGTTGTATTGTTCAGATATACTGTGTGCCATGCTGTGTTTACAAATTTATTCCTGATTGTTTCTGTTATGCTCTTTCTATAGTTGTTTTTTTTATCATATCTTATGTTCCATTCTTTATCTGCAATTATTTCATTGGTCCAAGTCTCACCAATCTCGTTCCGAGGGGGAAGGTTCTGGTCCTCCTGACTGGGGTACCTTTCCTTACGGTCCAGTAAAAGGAAGTAGATCATCTTTTCTTGGTTGTCACTGCAGAGAGGAGACAATAAAAAGGATACTGAGAGCTCTGGGAAAGACATACAATGGTTTTAAACCAAACTGAGTCACTCCAAACACATACACAAGTATAGATTAGTGAGCATTCATGTGCATACGCAGATCAGCATTTACAAGAGCTTAAAACCAAGACATTAAACTGCAGAAACCCTCACTATGATTAATGTCCTTTAATCTCTTTGGGTTCATTGTGAAACAGCTACTAAATAGCTTCCATCATTAAAACAAAAGTTTAGTTTTACAGGTCATTAAGCAATCATATAATATTCTGCATATATTTTTTCTACTGGTGAGTTTATGAAAGTATCAAAACATTATGAGTTCGGCCTTTCCTTTCTCTGTAAATCAGGAAGCGTAATATCTTTAGCCTCTGGGCCAATACCCTCTATTCAAAAAGCCCAGGGATTGGCCCTCCATAATAAAGACAGATTGGAAAGCAGTAGGAGGCAAAGAGACAAGGACCTGCAACTTCAGCTAAAATGAACGAGGGAAAGGGAGATAGAGACTGCAGATTTTTCTCTAGTCCAGCACTATTACGGGATGCTCCCAGGAGAAAAGAAGGAAATGGAAGCGATGGGGAGAAAGGAAAGTGATGGAGTAATGCTCGTTTAGTATTAAATTATAGAGGCCAGTCAAATGTAAAATAGAGGGAAAGGAGATTGAACAGCAAAGCAAAGTGAAACAAAAAAACATCCGTGTGCTCACATTAATACAAACCAAGTGTATGAGAGACTGCAGGGTGAGTATCCTCAGCATAAATGCATATTCACAGGGACACATGTGTAACTCAGACATAAACATTAGTAGCAGAACATAAACAATGTGACCCAGGAGCTTGTTTGTATCCTGCAGACCAGGATCAGTTTGGGGGGAATGTATCCAGTGGCAAGCGGTGTAAGCACTGTGTGATAACAGTTAAGTGATCTATAGCTTCTGACATCTAAAGTGACAGCCTCACAGGATTTCATAAGAGCCTGGGCCAAACCAAGGCCGTCTGTGCGCACAGACACAACACTCCCATCCTTTCCATTGCAGTACCACCACACAGCCCCTCTTCTCTCTGTCTTCAGCTTTTATTTTTTCCATTTTTCAACACACTTTCACCTTTTTTTCCTACTATATTTTTCTCTTCTCTAGTTTTTCATTCACTGAACCACACCGCCATTCTTCTTCATCCCTGCTTTTTCTCTTCCCCATCCCTCCCATTTGCCCCGCCATTCACTCACTCATCTGACAGCAGGTCTTTCAGCAGTTTGTTTTTGTCTCTGAAGCAGCCCAGGGAGTGCATGCTGTCCAGTACGTCTGGGTCGATGTCATCTGCAGAGGGCAGGCTGCGGATGGTCACCTTCCTGGGCACAGGCTGCTCTGGCTCTGGTTCGTTCTTCCCCCCTCTGTGGATGCAAAGAAATTGCAAGACAAATAATGACACTGTCACCCATTTGGTCCCTGCAAATGTAATTAAGTAAGTTTAAATACATTGAAACGTTTTCATATTGCTTATATACAGATTGAAGTACTTGAGTACTGTAAACAGAATATGTATGTGAAGCATTTCAGTGTTTGTTTGCCTCTTGGTCATCTGGGGCATCTGAGGCATCTGGGACATTGGCCTCATTATGACCCTGGTTCACATTATGAAACTTTCCTAGTCACGTATTTTCCCCAGGTTTAGTCATTTTGCATGTAAGCTTCAGAGGGTGAACCTGGGTCATCATGCTCGCCAAGATGCAGACAGACGACTGAGTCATGCTGTTGAGTTCTGCAATCTCCCTCTCTCCTCCTGGCTTATTTCCCAAACTTAGTTCCTTCATTATTCTGTCTTTCCAGACACTCTCCTAGTTATGTCACTTTTCTCTCTTTTGTCTGTCTGAATCTAGGGAGCACACAAGCAGGACTTGGGATCTAAACTTCTTCTTTGGGATTTGAAATAAAAAGGCTAATCCACACTGACACCATTTTCTGGAGGATTTCTGGATGATCTAGATAGACATAAACACGGCCTGTAGTCTGTTTCAAAGAACAGATTCGGCTTAGATTTCTTCTTTCTTCTGTGCCAATACACACAGACTGTGATACAGAAATTCACAACCCTCCTCTACTATTCCCCACTGATCTTATGTGTCGCCCACTTAAAACTATACTCAGTTGCCAGTTTATTAGGTCCTCATGCTCATTCATTAATTCATTAATTTATTCATTCATTCATTCATGCATTCATTCAGCCAGACAGGCAGAGGCAGACATCCAGGCAACTTCCTCACTGATTCACATTATATTAGTTTTCTCTCCCAGCTCTTCTCTTGTCTCCTCTTGTTTTTCTTATCTGTCTCACTGTCTGTTTGTATGATCTTTCAGTACGTGGCAGAAACCATAACTCAACCCCTTCCAGGGCTTACAACCTCGTCCTATGTATCTTTGCTCTTGCAGAGTAAGGAACAGTAATTCCGATAATGGGGGTACCATCCTTTACAATCATCAATCATCATTTAAAAACCAAACATCTGGTCATGCATTTGTTCCCCATTAAAAAAACCTACATATAAATGAATTCATAACATACATAAACATAATTTTCAATGACCTGAAACACAAATTTTCTCGAAAGATTTATGTTAGCTTTAAAAGGTGGGTAACATGAAAGTTAAACGATGGATACACTGAGGTTAGGTGGGTTCATCCTCGACATCCCTGCTTGTTCCCTCTCCCCTGAACCCTGTTCAGTTGACCATATGCTGCACATCCTCTTTCATGCACTACCAATTTACCCCCACATCCCCAAGAGTGGAGTCTTGCCCTGCTCAAATGTACTCTTGTGTACAGGGCAGAAACTCAAAGCCATTTATCATGTGGTTGCTCCCCTCAGGTCTACAACCCCTGCAGAATAGGCTAATAGAGGAGAGAAGAGGAGTGGAGATTGTAAAAAGGAAAGACTGGGGAGTACTTACATGTACCATGTGTGCTTCTGGATCTGTTCTAACTGTAAAAGACATGACAGAAAAAACTGCAGGTTAGTACACAAGCAACGTGATGCATTTGATTTGAATAATTTAATAACATTTTTGGTGCTAAGGAAATAATTACTGAGGAAAAAGGTGAATTTGCCGGTGTATAGAAACGTTTGGTGCATTATGTGCTGAGCTTACTGGCTTAATGGAAACACAATAGGACAATACAGGCAGGTTGAACGCTGGAAACAAATAATGAGGCCATTAAATATTAATACTGCTTATGGGAAAAACTTATTGAGGAAAAGAGTAAGGTAGAGAGAGGTGCAGCTGGAGTATGAGAGAGAGATGACACCACTGAGCTATATACAGAGAATATTATCTCCCTCACACACACTGCTGACCCTGCCAAGCCCTCTGGTCTAAAGGGAACCTCCCATTCTCATTCTCTTCTCATCTCTCTTACTCACACAAACACACACTCCCTCTCTCAATACTACTCTTGTCACCGTGCTTTTAATGTGGCCACTTTGTCACAAACGCTGTCAACATGGTCTTTTGCCAAGAAAGGAAAAGCAGAAAGAGAAAGAAACAGTTAGAAAGAGAGCAACAAAGAAAGATGTCTGTTTGAATGACTTCACAGTGTTTCAACTGCCCACAGAGGTAAACTGGATCAAATGTCACTGTTGGGACTTTTTAATTTGTTGTTGTGGAACCACAGACGATGCACATAACAGCTTTAATTATTATCACTTATTCAGAGGTATGGTTCTTGGGTATGTGCCTATATCAATGGGTCTCCACAATCCCAGAGGATTTACCTCTGTGTTTCAGCACTGATGAATGCCTTCATGTGATACCAGTTCAATTACAGAGCTGGCCAGACTATAGGTGAATCTTGTCTGCCTCCACAGAGGTCATGGTATTGACAGAGACACCCTGCCTGTCAAATACAGGCCAGTGGGTGACCTACTCTCTCCCACTTTTATTGGAGGCCTGGAGGCAAGAGACTGATATCACACGTGGGCTTGAAAGTGATGTGGTTTGAAATGCAGTATCACATCAATCAGTCTCTAAATGTGACAGTACCAATTCCAGCTGCTTTCACTCAGGCAGAGGGGAATGCCGCTGTAATGCTGGTTTGGCTAGGTGTGTGTATGAGTGTGCGTTCACGTATGTTTTCATCTCGGGGCTGCATAAATTTACTTACGTGCAACATGTACAGTATTTACATAAATGTATGTGTCATGTGTATGCATGTCTCAATCATGTGGCTGTGTTAAAGCAAGGAGGGTGGAGCTATGGGAATCTATTCTGCCATACAAAGCCAAAACACTAACTATATATTTGGTGTAAAAAAAAAAGAAAAGAAAAGAACTAAGAGCAGAATATGACTTTTTGACATATAAAATGTAACATGCCATAGAAATGTGTAATTTGGGGAAAAACAGCATTTAAAGAACTACAAAACAGAAGTAAAAAACTAACCAGCTAGTTAAGGCTAGGTTAAGGTGAGCATTAGCTCTTAAACTCATTTACCCACTTTTCTGTAATTGCTCCAACATCTTAGAAAGTGAGTTGGTTATACCACATAAAGTAGCAGTAGCAGAATCTAATAATGAAAAGAAAAAAGATAAAACACCAGATAAACACATCCTGCTAAAAGTGACAAGACGTTCCATTTGGTCTTCGATTGTCCCGGTTTCAACTGGGTGTCCCCAGTCCCGGCGAACATCCCAGTTTTCAACATTCACCACCAAATTGTCCCGGTTTTCATCACAATTAAAATAATAATTACGGTAGAATACATGTTTTCAGTGCTTGAATAGGCATTTAACATGTCCCGGTTTAGGAGTAAATATGGTGATGCTCACCCTGAAGTAGTCTAGCTTAGCAGAGTTGCAGAAACTGCTGCCTCTGCACATTCTGACTTTGATGGAATTCACACGATTAACTACACTGTTATTTCTTAATGAGATCAGTTTTATATCACATTTATGGCACACAAACACACACACTTCCTTAATTCTCATCGACCATGATACTTTGTCGCAATTCCCATGAATGCGTTATTTGTCTGTGATGAACTGTTCTATAATATAAAAAGCTAGCCAATCCTCTTCATTATCCAGGGATCACAAGGACGGATCTTTCCAGGTTGTCTGTGTTCATGTGAATATGGAAGATGAAATGACTGTGTCGAGGTGGCTGGCCCAGTCATCTGCGGGGCCCTGACTACACAGACAGGAAATGAAGAGAAAGGCTTTTATTGGGCTAAGCCCCTTAAGGCCGGGTATGTGCCCTACCACTCGGACTCTGAGGGGCCTTGGCTTTGTGTGTGTACTTGTGTGCATGCAGCAACAAAATCTAATTGAGACGGTGAAAATAGACATAAACACAGCCTGTAGTTGTGGTCAGATTACTCGATAATCGATTTGAACTACCGCCAATGGTATTATGAAATATAATCATCCAACGTGTTCCCTTAAGATGTCATTCCCACCCTTGGGTGCATTTGTCATCTCCGACTGGGCTACTAAATTCCAAGAATGCTTAATCTAACAGGGCTATTTGACATTCTGTGAGGTTACAACACATCCCCAGAGCTCTGTTTGGAGCCCTCATGCGCAGGAGGGGGGCGGAGAGGTAGCATATTTTCTCCCAGCAGCTCGGCCTGTGTGTAACCCTTTTGTCGAGGACAGCGCTGGAGGCTGGTGGACATATCTAGCAGATCTCAGGGTGACCCATCCACGTCACGCAGAGAGAACAGAAAATTAAAGCATATAGTGTACATTCTGTCCTTCACATCTCTCTGTTCTCGCACTCTCCTCCAGCTACCTTGCCAAGGTGATCAGTTGCTGTGTAGAAAGGGACTGGCATTGTGATGAGTACGCTAAACAGTGCAGAGGGAGAGTACACAAACAGCAGTCCTCTTCTGAATTCACAACCTGTACTTGAGGAAGAACTCAAACAGAATTGGGGATGAGTCGAGACAAACACATTTGGAACACAAAGGAGGAAAGAAGAAATAAAGAAAAAGACAATGGTTGGCTTGGCAGCGTCACGTTGATATTAGCCACTTTAGTTTGAATGTGTATCTCTGCCATCTTACTGTCTCCTTAGAGCATTACAAGTTTTCCCAGCTTGCTGTGAATCTGCGAAATAATGATTCTCCTCTCTTAACAAAGACCTGATGTGTCTGGGTTTTTTCCCCACATGAATGCCGTCTAAAATAACAACGAAATGTGTTTGGCTGCTTCTACAACATCATTAGTAAACACTACTAGTCGTGGACTATGAATATAAAACATTCAATGCAGATAGAATTCATGTTTTATTGAGTCACTGAGAATGTACGGATTGTGCATAACGAGGTGCAAAGAGTACTTTGTACCATTCATGTAGTATAGAAACACATCATGCATACCGCTAAAGAACAACAACATATACTGCAGAGGCTCATGATAATTAAACATTTGTGTGCTAACACGGGTGTGAAGGCAATATATACCTACTGTTAGAGATATGTGCTTTACACCCACACAACATGGCTGTCAATCACATAAGGGTGTGGCCTTCCTTCTAAGACCATGAACTTTATTATACATACATTATATAGTTACCTCCCCTGTACTGCTGGAGCACCCTCCACTCTTTTGGGAAGGTTTACTGCAAGACTTTGAAACCTGGCTGAAGGATTTTGCTCCAACTTAGCCAGGTCAAGTTCTTTAACTCCAAACTTAAAAAAAAATATTATTACTGTTATTATTATATTATAATTGCTGCCCTAAAGTTGAAAGCTATTGTATAAAATATAATTGAATGTTGTAGCATAAAGATTCCCTTTTGCAATTAGAACTAAGGGGCCAAGCTCAAGACCAAGACCAAAAGCACAAAAAGCATATGAACATAATCATAATGGCGTGTTATCACCCAGTCCCTTAATTGAACTGACCGTTAGTCTTTTGGAGGCATCCACTTCAATCATGCCACGGAGGAGGTTCTGACAGTCTGGAGGGATGAAGTGTGGCATGTGAAACACCCCCAACTTCACTTTCTCTAGCAGATTCCTCAGGTTGTCGTCATCAAACGGCAGGGCACCCTGGAGCAACAAAGGAAAGAAGCAGAGGGTGAGAAAATGGAAAATAAATTGAAAAAGGGAGAAGATGTAGATGTAGGAATGAAAAAGTAGACAAGGAACAGTTTGCACTTATTTTAATAGCAGCATTAGAACAGAAAATAACTCTTCATATGAATGACTAACAAGACTCGCCAGAAGAAAGGATAACTACATTTTGAGTCTTAATCCTGCACGACTTAAAGAATAGGCTCGCTTTCTCAACTTGTTAAACTTTCCAATTAGAGCATTCTGCCCTCAGCCACGATGCAAAATAAATAATAAACAGCAGTAAGCTGAAAACAGGGCTTTTCTAATAATTACCCAGCTTTCTCATTTACCTCGTTCATTTAGCATTCTCTCATCAGAGTCATTTATCAGAGCGAGCTGACACCTCACAGATGTGGCTGTTTGATGAATGACAACCTCCACAAGAAGACAAGATGGAGGGGGAGAAAAAGAGCAAAAAGGCTGAGAAAGACAGAAAGAAAGAGGTAGAGAAAAAAAGAGGGGGTGGGGCAGCCTTGTGTAACAGATGATCTGAGTGCAGCCTAACTGCTGGGGAGTATGCGCGTCTCCCACAATCAGACAAATGGTTATCTCACAGCCAGACAGCAGGAAGAAACAGGAGAAAGGCAGTATTCATCTTCAGTCAAACAGCGATGGGGAGAAACTTTTGTTTTGCAGCAAGAGTGTGGTCACGGTGGAGACAGTGGTAAACAACATCAGGTTTACGCAACACAAGAGTACAACGGAGACTGTCCTTAACACAGGTGCACATACACGCACACATATATGAGACAGATAGAGAGGGGAGTGAGGGAGAGGAAGGCAAAAACAAAGACAAATAAACAGGGCCTGTGGCCAAAAGCCGCCCTGTCAGCGTTGGTATTTATTTTGGGCTCTCTTCTTTCAGTTTGGTTGTATGAATTATTCATGGAGCAGGAGTGTGTAGGAACTACAGTACAGCCGTTGATGAAACAAAGCTTCAGGGCTGCACGGCTGGGGAACCACAGACATAATGTAGCTGGAGAATAGACCTGATTATGGATACAGGGTTGTGTGTGGATACAGGATAATGAATAAAAAGATGCTTTTATTATCTGATTTTCTATTACGCAAGAGTATCAGCTTTGGGGGCATTCTGCAACATTTTTCCAGTAAGACCTACTAAATGTTAGGATTTTTAATTGAATTCCCTGAACTCTGAGTTTATGTTTGACACCATTTGGCAGCTTCAAGATCTTCCTAGATGTGATTGTCCTGTCACAAGGTGCACTAATTTTCTACTTTTGATCCATTACAGCTGGTACAAAGGCTAGACGTATGGGAAGGCAACACTTTATGATTAAATTGTATTATGCCATACTTCTCACCATCACCGTCACCATCAGTTAGTAAAGAACAAGCAGACGCTCACCACCAATAGGGCAAAAAGAATGACCCCACAGCTCCAGACGTCTGCTTTCCTCCCGTCATACTTCTCTCCCTAAGGACAAGAGAGTGTTTGTTATTGGTTAGGGGTTGGTTTAAATAAGATCAAGGACAATAAATCAGTGAAAAACGACTTACCCTGATGACCTCCGGACAGGCGTAGTGTGGAGATCTGTTGGGAGAACAGAAAAAGTGCAAAGAGTGAATGAATTGAAGAAGTAAGAAAAAGAAAGAGGTTTTCTAAGGACTATTCCATTTGTACCACTGTACTGGGAAGTGAATCAGGGTTACACAATCATGACACAACAGACATAAAAAATGTAAACGCAACTTTTTGAAAATTTCAAAACAGCAATTTAGACAGACAATAACTGTTTTCAGTGAGCATAGATCAAAATATGCTTGAGGATTTCAGACATCCTGAGGGTGTTTGGATGTCCTCCTGCTCGCTCACTAAAGGGCATCCTCTTACAGCAGACAGTGAACAGACCCACTAATCTTTACAGCACCTGGACGGGCTGACAGTAAACCCAATGACTAGATTGACACATCAATATTGTATGAAGATTTATGGAGCTACCTTGCAAGGGCTGCTCCATAAGCCAGTAGCTATGGATGAGGGGAGCGGCTGTTGAGTGACTTGTTATTCTGTACATACATAGTGGCACTTTTGCAGTACTTGGTGAATTCAGTACCTTGAAATAAAAAGCAAAAAATAAATAAATAAATACATTTTGCTTCAATCTAAAAAAAAAATATTTAAATAAACTTATCATTACAGGATGTTTCCTTGTTTCTCTGAGACTGGGCAGGGCTCTGATCTTTTCAGACATGTGACTACACACAAAGAAAATTAGGCACCTGTCTCCCCAAACCTCTCAGCTTGGAGATGTGTCCTCCACCTCCTTCTCCTGCTCAGTCTTATCTAATAGCAGAACATTTGGCTCTAATGAGAGACTATCTGAAGTCTGTAAACATGGCGCCCATTAGCTCGGCTGTTGTCTTGTGTACTCATGAATAACAGCCCTGACTGCGCGGCTTCCTCTGGCTGTCAAAATACTGGCCGATAACAAACACTGCCACCATGTCAACGGTAAAGTTCAAACACGAGCCTATGCAAATACGGCCTTCCTGATTGCAAGTGTCATAGTGCATTATGCAGATGAGCGGAGAATAAAAATAAAAAACAAGCCTGAGATTTGCACTAGTTATGCCCCTCGAGTGCCACTACACACAAGCCACAGCTGGAACCAGCGTGGATATAAACTAATTATTTGCTGAGGCTTTAGGTGGCAAACACAGGGTGGAGGTAAAGACTGGAACACAAGAATCTCAGCTTTCTGCCTGAGCTGAATACTAATTTGTCAATATTAAAACCCTAAATCAGTCAGCCAAATCATCTACAGTATGTGCTTAGATCTCATCTCTTTTCCACTCTGACACATCATTATAGGGCTTTTTTTGTCCACATATGTCAGTTTTGAACATTTTCCACACTAAAACACTCCATAATTGTTTAATTTCTGCACTGCGATGTGGCGAGTATTCATGACCCTTCTTTCTTGTTAAGTTTGACCTGTATTTAATAGTTTCATTTAAAGCAATAAGTATTAATTTGAGGTGTAAATAAAGTTCATTCAAATGTATCTTAGCTAAGCACATTAAACTTTGGCCGCATACTGTATCTGATAAAAAATAATCCCTTGCTGCTGACACCAGAAGTTCCGATTATAGAGGATACTAAAGATAAATAGAAAGCTGTACAAGCCACTTCCCTCTGACCAGCGTGAAAAATGCAGTCTTTTGAAGAACAGTTGTGCGTGGGTTGACATAACATCAGTCTTTTATTGCTATTTGCCAAAGCTCATTTACTCTCCCAACCTAACACCACTAACATCGCATAAATAAAATTAACACACAGAACAGAACTTTTGAGGGCAACAAATAGCAGTATAGTGGTCCAAAATGCTGCTGTAAGTGATTTGCCCGACAGCATAAAGAAAGAAAAAGCATTTGGTTAAGGACCCAAGATTATACTGAACCAGACTGCTGAAGTGTGGATACAAAAATGATAAAGATGAAAAAAAAGCTGCACACTTATCAGTGTAAGAGTGCCTGCAGAGAGATGTCTGGACCACAAGTTCAAAAGAGCTTTAATAAGTTTACCAACAGATTACCATGTCCCTTGCAGTAAACAGTACATCGTATCATGAGTTTAAGAGATATGAGCACCTATGGAGCAGTGAACGGATCAGCAGTATGGGCCAGCATTATTGAGGAGACGCTGAGACATGCAGGTCTTATTTAAGAAAATTCTTCTTTTTGAACCAAATTTGTGCGTCTCCTCACTGCATACAAGATAATTTCCTTTCATCAATCAAAGCAACAGCATTAAACAAACAGCAAGCACTAATGAACTCGCAGCTGGGTTTATGCAGACAGATAGAGAGGTTGCATGCACGTTCTTAGATCCATATTTGTACTTGCTTGTCAATGCCTCTGCTCATCTATATGTCTGTATGTCTGCATGTATTTATGTATGTGCTCCGAGGCTCCCCCTACTCTACCTGCGGCGAGTCTCATCTTCACTCAGCTCCATTACCCGTGGCAAATGGAATACATTTGTGTCAGACTGCTGCATGGTGAGAGGGGGCCAGATAAATGCGTTTAATTAAAAACTGTCATATCTACACTTAGAGATGGGACAGTCAGAAAAGCATGAATAATCAATAACCACACATGCAGTGTATGGAACATTCACACGAATTAGGCAACGCCACAGAGACACACATACACAAATGATGCTCACACATTCCTGTGAGACACACAAGCACACAAACAGGGTAGGATGCGGTGATGGAGCTGAGAGTGGAACTAAAACAGAACTACTTTGCTTTACTGTGTGTGGGAGTTTGTGGTATGTGTGCCTGCATCTCTGTCAGACAGCTCTGTGGTTCCACCTGCAACAAGTACCTTCAGCACTTCGTAAATGTAATGTGGGGAACTAAGCAGATGTACTGCACCTGGATCGGAAAGCAGAATTGCTCGAAGTGTAAACAGAATTTGATGAAATATAAGCTAGATGCAGTTGCACTACAGGTTACTGCAAAGTACTGCAAAGCTGAGTAAGAGCTGTCGCATTCTGTAGCCTTTCTAGGAAAAGGAAACACTTCACTGTGGTCATCATGGCTGCAGAATGACTCAATCAGACACATTTTACTTGCAGATAGCAATGCACACTGTTCTCAGTCGGCCTGATCTCTCCCGATGAGTCATGAGAGCTTAGGCACTGTGCTACTGCTGAAAAAATTATGCAATAGCAAAGGGTCTTAGAGGTCAGGGATGAACTAAGCCTTGCCAGCACTGTGTGTGCATGTGTGTTTGCAGTATTACGTGTATGCAAGTGTGTGTAATTTCAGTTGTGGCTGATTTGGAGGCATAATCTGGACAGAATCAGGTCTGAGCTGGGGACAGATGTTGCAAGGTCTTCTCTATCTCCCCGGCCTTGCATGTAGTGTCATGTGTAACCACAGAGCAAAGATTCTCCCAAAGAAATCATGATCATCAGGAATCAGCAGAGATAGCCCTTGGCCCCTTAGTTGACCGTACATCTAATGGGCTTTTCTGGAGTGATTTAGATGTCCGTCATCTGTCGATCTCACTAAACACATATTTTTTTCTAAATCTACAGATGTATTAACCCACACCAACTCTGAGAAACACATCAATATGTGTGTTATTTTATGCCCCAAATCGATTTATTTTCTTGCTTATTTTTCTTTCTTTTGCTACACTGTATTTATGTTTTATTTTGTGAACTATACCTACAAAGGTATAAAACATAAAATCAATATATGATTTGCTTCATGTGTACCTGTTTTTGTTGCTTACATGTTGACACAATATACAGTGTGAATTTCAGGTAAAAGTGACATGAAACTCTTTTTGCCAAGTAGTGAAATCTTTTTGATAGTACTGCATAGGATTAGTGGCATCTAGCGGATGGAGAAACTATGGAGCCTGCAAAACGTGCAAAAAATGTGAACGCCCCTATCTAGAGCCAGTATTTGATTTGTCCCTTCTGGATTACTGCAGATTCATTCAATTCATATATATTCAGGTGATTATACACTATCAAAAACATAATTATGCATAATTTATTCCATTTCTGCCCATAGATCCTCCTACATGTTAGACACTAGACCTTTAATCCATGCTGCCACTGACTTTATGAACCTGATACCTAAAAGTAAACCATCATCAACTGTGTTGCTTCTTTTATTGACAAATGTGACCCTGCGCACTGTTCACTACACTTCAGGGTTAAATAAAAACACTCCCACAATATGGCCGACCACGCTCGAAAGACTTTGAAAGTGACTTTTCCTGCAAGTGAATTCATTTTGGTCGTTGTGGGATTGATGGGCCTGGCGTGGTTGTGACTGCCAGGTCATAAAACCCAGCGTAGTATATGAGGAGACGGAGAGCAGTAATGTGTGGCCATGGCCCTGGCCCTGCTCACAGCCAGATAGCACACTCTGTGAGAGACACCAAATGTCTCTCCTCAGGAGATCAACACAGCACGATAACGGAGGATTTCAGAACACGGCACCTAGCAGAGTTCCTTGATAGCTCCACTCATCATTCTCTGTTGCTTCTTTACTCTTCTCTCGGTTTCTGTTGCATACTGCCAACTCTGTGTGCCCTCCAACTATGACTTACACAATCTTGAGACTTTGCATCGGAGAGCACGCAACACGTTTTCTATAGCACTTACCCACAGCTGGTTTCCAGCAGACTGTCTCCAACCTGAAGGGAGGCCATGCCGAAGTCTGCTATCCTGATGTTGTTCTTTTCATCTAGCAACAGGTTCTCAGGCTTCAGATCCCTGTGGCTGAAAGATAGTGAGATGAAAAGATAAAACAGTTAATGATACATGAAAGAGCTTATCATCTTATCATAAGTCATATAAACTAGTAAAACTGAAGAGAAACGAAAGGTGCGCTGCAAGGTCTATTAAACACCTGTGGACCAAGCTTGGATCCAAATCCATGCACACAACTGAGAGCAACACAGCAGCTTAACCTATTTCTGAGCGCCTTCCTTCTCTCTGCATCGTCCTCTCTGATCTGTCCATTCTGAAACTAAGGGGCTGCCACGTCAGTGCTGGGCTGGTACAAGGTGTGACAGCCCCCTGCTGTGTGCTTTTCTCCTTCTGTTTCCCTCCCTCTTTCGCCCCTCATCCCCTTCCTCTCATCTCCCAGACAGCCACTGGCAGACTGGCAGAACATAGGGCGTCAAGGGGAGCCAGCCGCAGAGGAAGGGTTCATTAGCTGCCATTCATTACCACTAAACACAGTGAGGGGGATAATATCCAGCGGACAATGTCACCCTCCTTAAAAGGGACCATTGAGAGTAAGATCTTTCTCATATACATGTGCTGCCGTGTCAGAGGTTAGAATCTCAATTTTGACGAGTGTTCAAAAGCAGAGTAGTGTTAGCATTTACTCATGCATTTAACATGTCTCTGGGTTGAAGTCTGTATTACATCATACTGTGCTGTTCTTGTGATGTCTACCAAGGCTGAGAGAAGAACCACAGACATGAAACACGTGTATGTGTGCATCCACTGATATCTATCTTTCTTTTTCTATATTCTGACTTGCTTACCTCCCTCTATGATTTTTGGAATCAGAGAGTTATATAGAGCCACGGGCTGTCAGGATGTCATGAACTAGACTTTCATCTTCTCCTTAAACTAATGACTGAAAGGGGAGAGGAACAATAGCTTGATGCGTCCACCTTTGAAGAATGCCTCATCACAATGGACGTTTAACCTTAGATGACATCAGCTGCTGTACAAGCCGTTTCCTGTCCTGAGGGATTAGCTGTCAGCTGGTTTGTTATCACACTGGCAGTCTCTGTGATCCCTGATATAATTGAAATAAAACACAGATAGCATCTAAAACAGTTCTCCCCAGGCTAAAACCTTTGTCAATTCACACAACCATCATTTGGCAGCGATGTCAGTAGCTTGAGAGTTAGTCTTTTAACTAATACTGTCAAAGCACACGAGGAAGGAACAAACATTTACCGAACAGCTCAGGGGCCACCGGTGTGAGAATGTGGTTGTGCTGGGGATCTCTGAGGTCCCTCTATTCCACCAAGCCAGTACTGTACAGGAAAGTGTTCTTCATCAACACTCCTGATTAAATAATGCTTTTAAAAATAATGTTTCTTCTGGCAACAAAGTGTTTTAGACAGCTGAAAGTTACAAATCACTTGTGACTGGAGTTTGACAGAAGGTCAAATTGTAACTTTATAGCTACAGGGACCAGAAGACGGGGCCTGGAGCATATTAAATAATTTGGTGGGACATCAATGACAAAAGCAGCAGCAATGACAGCACTGACTGTGGCGAGTGTTTAAGACAGTGTTCAAACATTGTTTGATATCATATAACTTCATGATCCTAACAGACCCCAATCAGAGAACCACAGCTTCAACAGAGTCATAAATATCCAAGTACTCGTCAGCCTGAGATGCAAAAACGCACACTAAATCACTACCTAAAAGACCAATAAACATGGTATTAACATCACATTTAAAACAGAAAAAGCCAAGCCTCAAGAGACCGATCCACAAAAGAAAGAAGGCAGCAGCGTATATTTATCCTCCGACAGCATCAAGAGGACAAATTGCATCTGGATGCTTTATTGGTTGTCAGGACCCTGGTTTCCATAATAGGACATTAAACTGCCTCTCTGACACATTAGGCTGCACTTTGCTACTGTAATCTTGCTCACACAGCAGCTCTTGCAGCAGAGGTACCTCTGTTGCACTCATATGTCATGCAGGAGGAGTTGTTTGTAAACGAATTCAACAGATGCAATGAGCTTGAATGTAACTGCGGTTTTTCTTTCAAGAAACGTGGATGCTGTGCACCACTGGCTTGCAGGCAGGTCTTGGAGGAATGTCTTTTTACAAAACACTCAGCACTAAATGTCCTGAAAACAGCATGAGAAAATTTTAAAAAATCTGAGTAAGCCACTATTTAAGAATTTGTCATCCATCATGCCAGCAGATTACACAGTTCTACCTTGATCTGTGGTACATCCTTACAGTTCAATGTGCACTAAGCTCTTGCGAAACACCTCAGTGTAATTTACAGGGCACACGTGTGTCTTTTCATGCTGTCTGAGCAAGGTTTACTTCCCAGTGGGGCCGTTAGACATGATTCTTGCAATCTAACACCAAGCTCTTAATTGCCTGTGATCATTTGCACGTACCATGCTGATATGTTATGTTTTACAGAAGGTCGTAATGGGTCTGTCCTCTTGCGGCTCACATCCCTATAATATCCCAGACATGTTTATGGTGATGAGCAGTTTCGTAGCTAAATTCTTCAGCCCAAGGAAAATATACTTTTCCCATTGTGACAAATTTGACATACACCATATTTAATATGGCCTCTTGTTAAGTCTGTGTTATAGCACAAAGATATGTGACACTAATAAGCTAAACCAGAACACTTAACACTAATGGCTCACATGCGCATCTTTGACACATTAACATGCCTGGAAAATAGCACACCTGTTTTTGCCTTTTCATGAGGTACTAAAGCTTTCCTGTTACCATTATTGTTAGCTGGAGTGGGGTTTTTAACCATCGTTGTGAGCTGAAATGCACCCATTTAGCCTCTGGCGCACCTCTGTGTCATCCTCCTCTTTCTATCTTTCCTTTTTTCTCTCAAACTTTTTTAGGCTTCTGTTGACCCAATTACAGAGAGACCAAGCACATTCGCTAAAAATGCTTGAGGCTAATATTCTATCGCATTAGCAAAAGAGGACATTCTGACTGCTGACTTAGATGTGGTGGGCACAATCATTCATTTAGCCAATGGGGTTAATTGTGTAATAAGAGCAATGAGGGATGAGAGAGATAAAGTCGTATATTTTTCTTTCTGCTGTCTAATGGAATTGGTTTTGCATTTGCATTTTTTTTTTTAAAGCAAGCGATTGGCAGATGTGTTTACAATTTATTCTGTAATTTATGTCTATTCTTCCTCGGAGTAGCCAAGTTAGATCCGATGTACTACATTTGGAACACAGTTTGTTAAAAGTACAAATACATCTCAAGTGTGGTCACAGTTACACATAAATCAAAGGTTTCTATTCATCCCTTTTAGAAAGAAAACTTGAGTTATTTTAGTCAGATAATAACAAGGAGAGAACCAATTGTTGGCAATGGCCTACACATGTCCTTCACTACACTGTCCTAACCGTATCAGCATAAGAGCTCCATGAGAAAATTACAAAAGCGGTGCATTCAATCTCATTAGGGATATAAAGTATTGATTTATGTTTTGTTTAATTACCAAGACAAAAAACATTGTTAAATAGCCAAAACAGCTAAAGATGTAATATATATAGGCTATGTAGCTTACACTAATTACCACCCCCCTGTCCACTAGAATATCTACCATCTTATAGTGTTGTCTTATACAAACACTGTTACTTGTGATAATGATTAAAATATACTTAGTGGACTCAAACTGTTATAGAAAAGTATCACACAAAGCAAAGTAAAAACAAGCTATGGTCACAACTACCATTGTCCATTGCCCATGCTTCTCAAATCATATCACCTTTGGTCACATTTTTGATTGATTCACATCCTTATCATATACATATAAATAAAAAAAGCAAGGGCAGGTGGATACAAGTGGTTGCAAGTGGGTACATGTCAAATGTGGTCACAGTTACACATAAATCAAAGGTTTCTATTCATCCCTTTTAGAAAGAAAACGTATACATTTATTTTAGTTAGATGATAACAAGGAAAGGACTGATGGTCAGCAATGGCTTACACATGTCCTTCACTACACTGTCTTATTTGCGATAAGGACTTCATGGGGCGCAAGGTGAGCTACCAGATGAGTTACCGGGCACCCCATGATCTAGTAGTCTACTCTCATATAATTTGCATTTAAACTGAATTAGAATTGAGAGGAAGATACACAGCTATTTTTTTTTTTTTTTTACACACAAGATTTACTTTTCCATTGACTGGAGAGTATTCCTTGTGCCATATGGGGCATTTCTATCTATTCCTCCGGGGTTTTGAGCAACACTGGGGAAGAAATGCATTGTTGCATGTAATGCAGTGACTAAAAAGTGGGATTACAATGATGGCTCGATCTGTAATAAACAAACTATTTGCTTTGTTGTGCCAAATCTGTGTGTGCAACCCAGCGTTTGCTCTTAATCCAGAGGAGTTTGAGTGGGGAAGATAGGATGAGCAGCAGACCTTCAAGGCAGAATAAACAGACATGCTGTCAGAAAAGCATTGGAGTGAAGGAGTGGCATAGATATTAAAAACCCATTGCAACATCAGGCATCTAATATAGACTGCCATGGTGGTGGATAATTCATCTTAAAATAGTCCATTGGGCCAGTTAAAAATTAGAAAAGCAATTCCATTCTTAACTTCCCTCATTCAAACAGCCTTCCCATCTTTCCTGTTACACAACCAGCCTATTCCCCCTAAATCAGGCACCATAAACCTACCACTTGTGTTCTTTCTCCTCCTGCTATATTTTCCATTCCCATTTTACCCATCACATCTCCTTTCCGCCTCCTCTCCACATCAACTTCCCTTCCCTCACCCAGTTACACCTCAATGCTTTAACTGGCTCTGCAGGAGAGGAAAATATCAGAAAAATGTTAAAAAAGCAGAGGAGAGGGAGAAAAAAGATTTCCATTCTGTGTTGTTAGTGGCCATCAGCCATAATGATGATAGGCTATAAGTACAGGCTTTCTGCAGTGAGACAGACAGACAGACAGGCTGTCAACTGGGGAGACTCTCCTAAGAAAGTCAACCAACACAACCACA